TTGTAAATTTGAATGTAGGGGGTAATCTCTGAAACTACCTACGGATCTGATTGAGTACATTACCACCGAGTGCACCATGATAACTTTAATTGAAGAAGTAAAAACTGGCCGTCAAGTTGGTTCATCGGCGTACGCTACCTAAAGTCTAAACTGTTTGAAATAAAATAATAAAATGTATGGCAAAGAGAGACCTAGGGAGTAGGGACGCATCCGGTCGAAGGAAGGGTAAGTCGTTAGTATTTCATAAAATAAAGTTATGCACCCTTGCCAGTAATATTGTTTTGTATAATATCTGTACTAAGACAGGTTTTTCTTAAAACGGACTTTAATTAAGAAAATTATATTATAGTGACCTAAATATGATTGCATCAAATAATACGTACCTATCACATATTCCTACATATTTACCTATCGCATGATCGGAAAATGCTTCAGTTCTTGTTCTATTTCAGACCGTACTTAACTCATCTTTTTATGATGAAGCAAAATTCTAACAGTGTGTAATTTGTATACTTAATATTATATTTATATTAAAATCAAAGTATTTTTTGGTGTTTATTCTATAAAGTAAAGTATAACTTAATGTAATATATATAATAATTACTATTTTTCGTAATGACTAGGTAATTTTATAATACTTTCCTAAATTCACGCAAATATTTGACCTTTTAAATAAAACTATCTCTAGGGCTTTTTTCGCGAATTTATTTTGATTTTTGGTTCCCGAGGTTTCGAATGCTTTAAAGCATTCATGGTTACGAGAGAGACCTTGAAGTAATTAAGTATAAAAATTTTGTATTTATATTATACGTAAAGTATTTTGCTATAGAAATTTAATATAAAGGTAAAAAGTTCGAAGAAATTCAAGAGGAAAGCTCTAACTGTTAGAATCTAACAGGTAATCGTGCGTAGGTTTTTGCTGCACAAGAAGTGGGCGTTAAACACGGTAGGCGTTCAAAAGCTATTACTAGTGTAGGTATAACATATTTGTGTGCAATTTAACTCGTACATAATAGATTCATATCTAGCTTTATTATATCTAGTCTGGTAAATAACTCATTGTAATCAACTTGTTTTGTTCTTACAATAGTCTTAGTCCAACCAGCGTTCATTAATATGAAACTTCAGAAGCCACTATGCACTTCTAGGCTTTATCACGTCTACAGTATAATTATTAGTCAATTTAGCAAGTTTTTAACGATTGAATTAATAATAATAATTATAATTTGATTCAATAAATCTATCTTGGAATTAAAGTTTCGTAATTGTGTTTTAAATTATCACTCTTCTAGGTACTTCTATTCTAGACCAAATATCGAAATATCTGAACTTACTTGTTTACTGTAACTATAAAATTAAATATTATAATAAAAATAAGCAAATGTCGTCAAAAAAGATGACGGAAAAATACAGCAGAAACCCAATGTTTTTAATTTCATTAATTATATTATTTACAAACTCGTTTTGGAAATAGGTATTTAGAGTATAATAAATTAACCTAATTATTATTATCTCTTTAAGACATTTTTATATAGTACTAGCGGCTCACCCTCGCTTCGCTCGGGTTCGCCTCTAGATAAAAAAATCACAAATCTGTCTCACGAGAACCGTAAATTTTTCCGGGATAAAAAGTAGCCTATATGTTATTCTGATGTATGAGCTATATTATTGCAAGGTTTCATAAAAATTCATTTAGTAGTTTTTGCGTGAAAGAGTAACAAACATCCATACATCTAGACATCCATACATTCTCACAAACTTTCGTATTTATAATATTAGTATAGATGCCTAAAAGGTTATCAAATAAAATGACGTATCAATAATAAAATTAAAAAGTAAACAAGCTCCTTGAAATTAAGTTAGTTAGCCACAGAGGACGTTTAATATTGATACATCGCCTGCACTTAGTGACCTTTCTGAAATTCATGGTCAATATCCAGGAAAAGCACTTTACGAGCGGTCCTTTGCTTTGAATTTCCCCTAACCGAGGCCAGGTGGGCATCCAGCTAATTTCTATTTCCTGCACCCTTATATAGCAGTTAGATTTAATTTATCTCCTAAGCTTGGTCCATTAGCGCTCCCTACTCCACTCGTTTGATAACAGTTGACAGCAACGGGCGCGGCGTGCGCTCGTGTTGGCTGGACGCGGCGCATACTGTGCTTTCTGCATAATACCATGTAATAAATTCGTTGTATGTAAGGACGGACTTTTGTGTTTTTAACATGTTGAGGCTATTACATATTGAATTCATATTAGTGATGTAAACTACATATTTATAATCTATATAGGTTTAACGCCCTAGATCAGTTGTGAAATGCTCACAGTGAATCATTGAAATCAAGAGGAAGTGGTGATACAGAATGTTTATCCTTAATGAAGTTGTGTGAATTATATATTGATAAGTTGAGGCTTTGTGTTATACGTGCAGTGAAACATATATATTTCTTGTGACCTTACTTACACTATTAACAATTGTAATGCTGTTAATATAAAGCTTATCAAGCGTGTCTACAAAATGTGATAAGTAGTTAAATAAAAGTGAGTTAACTCTAGTCAAATAATTATGCATATAAGTTCTTTAAAATTGATTTTTATGTCGTAAGTTGATTAAAGATCATTAAATGAATTTCTATATAGTAATCCATACATATAATAAAATTGTAACTAAGCCGAATCTGTACATTAAATATTTTTTGGAAAATCTTTTTGAAATAAACATTATTATCGATACAGATGCCGAATCTATAGTTTTTTTAGAATTTTAGTGTGTCTGTCTGTCTGTTACCATATCAAAGAAAAGCTACTGGAGGGTTTTTAATGAAATTTGGTATGGTGATAGCTGGTTATCCTGGTCAACATATATGATACTTTTTACCGCGAGAAAATATCTCATTTCTGAGAAAAATACAAAAACTAATGTAAGAGTATACTAATATGTAAAACCTAAAAATTTGGTTTTTGGTCATCTGAACGCGGGTGGAGCCGCGGGCAATGCTGGTCTAGTTATATTAAAGTGGATTAGTTGTAATACTCGACTTGACCATAGATTAGTTACCTTCTTACCATAATATCACAAGGACCTTCTTCTGAATATTTTTGTTGAAGCTTTACTTAAAAATGAGAAAAAAATTATTTCAACTCCTTACGAATCATTAGGTGGCACTACCGGTTTAAAATACGGATGCAGATTTTGAATGGAGACCGACAGAACTAATTACTCCCTTGAATTACTTTATATGAAGTTGAACGATTTAACAAAAGGCACCGTACTGAATGGAAAAGCTATCACACCCATATTACTAAGTAAAGTTAAATGAATAAATACTTACGATATATACCAAACTAGTGTAGAGTATTTTAATATAGGAACAATAAACAAAAATATTAAATACAAAATATAAATAAGTTAATCCTTGTTTCAAGATTGGTTATATCTTAGGTTAAGTTATTTTTAAATGTATAGTGTACGTATACCCTGATTTAGAATACTTCTTTCTAGCTTGGAAAAGTAGAGACCTCCGCGAAGAATGAATGAGAACAGAAGTTGTAAGAAAATTATACCTATTAGAATGTAACCTCACTCACAACTTGTGTATTTTAAAATGTACACCAATCAATCATAAATAATTAAATAATTAGGAAAGTGTCTGCACAATTTTATTACAAAAGAAGAAAGCGTTTAAGAGTCGCGTAAGAGTGGAAATTTATAAAAAAATAGTTTTATTTCTTATTTTACTAAATACATATGAAAGTAAATACGGTACTTATAAGAAAAGATCAATTTTTAAATTTTTGTCTGTTTGTTCCGGCTAATGTCCAAAATGGCTAGGCTGATTATGACGAATTTTTCACTGGCAAATAGCTGACGTTATAAAGAGTAACTTAGGCTACTTTTATTTTAGAAAAAGAATTGAGAGTTCCGCGCAAAAAAATTAAAACCCATGAAATTGTGAAAAAAAACCATATAACCAGAGGCGTCGCTTATCATAAATATATCTAACTTATACGTAGGTACATACTTAAAAGATCTATTTAGTTTTAGAGTTCAAAAAATTAAACATGTGTGAAGAACGGTACAGTTATATCTAGCGTACTTACGTTATGCCTAATGTAATTAAGTTCATGAGTTTTCTGAATACTAAAACAATTATACTAGTAGTTTTGCGAACAGTACCTGAACCTCGCGAATATAAACTGCATTTTGAGGAGCTATTCTGCTCATCACACCAAAGATCCTCATCAGATTTTCACCAAATTTTTATGAGACCAACAAAAAAACCCTGACCACAAAAAACTTGTACAGGATTACCAACAAACTAACAGTGGAAAGCAAATTTTGCCAGACTTGAAGCAGAGACGCTTCGCTCGCTCAGTCAAATTACATTTATAAAATTTCGACCTGTGACTTTCTTAATAAGACGAAATTACTCTTTCTCTGACAAAATGACATTTTCTTAATAAAGTCACTAATAAACTTATTAAAAAACTTACTATTGTAATTGTATTGTGAAATAAATTGTTTTAGTAGTGTATGTGAAAGCACAATATTTACAAACGGTTTATGTCTTCATATTGCGCTACTATTTACAGAGCTTACTTTGCTTAAAGAACTTTGCTGTTTAAGTAATGTCTTTGTATTTGGTGTTTGTATATGTATATGTATATATACATATATATGATGTTAATTCTTAAAATTTTCTTATTACACTTTATTTGCAAAAAATTTTTTTTGATATTTACTTAAAGTCCGTTTGCTGTTATTCATAACAATTAACAACAAAGTCTTATTTACATAAACACATACCTATGTACATCGATCACTAGGTCTGTTAATTAAATATTGATAATAAATAATAACATAAATCCTATTAACTATTACATAATTTTGTTTACAAGATATTGAATGTAAATTTGATATTTCTAAAGCATCCAATAAAGTTTGCAATGAAGTTAAATATTTCATTGCTGTATAAATAAATGACCGCATGTTCAATTACAGGTTGAAGCGGGAGACGTATTGCTCAAGGTTAATGGGACTGATGTGAACCGGTTCACTACCCGAGAAGGTAAGGAATTCGCCATTTATCACCCATGACACTTATATCTTCCGAACATGCACACCGTTGATAACTGTTAGAAACTAAATTATGTTGTATCTAGCCTGTTTCAGCACCTAACTTATCGTAAACTTATTATACATGTATGTTTCGGTTTTATTCTCAAAAGAAAATATATTAAAATCACTTTATATTTCAAATAGTAACTACTTGGTAACTGTTCTTACACGTGTTGGGATGTAATAAAATGTACAATGTAGTCGAAAATTACTGATGTGTAACAAATTGACAGCTTATACTTTGGGTTGGTTAATTATTTGAGCCAAATTACAATAAAAATGATGGCGTCACTGAATATTCATAAAGTACGTATAAATGCTCAATTTGTACTCGTAAAATTATAATTTTGAACTATTTTTACTTTACCGTTTAAGTTTATTATATAAATCTTTATAAACCTATCGTTTTGAGTAATTTGTCTTCACAAGGTCTAACTTATTGCACTTTGTACTTTGTAGTTTGTACATGTCAGTAATCAAATATAAAAGTCACATCTCCTTTAAACATAGTACGACCGTTATCTGTAAAGTTATTAGCGTTAATTCAATGATCGCGTTATGGCCGGCCACTCGGACCGCACTTCGCACCGCACCCGGCACGCAATCGTGTAATTCAAATTTAACACTAACTCCCTGGGTTAATCTTCTTCTGATCAAAGTTATTTTGTTGTATGGTTTTTGATCGATAAAAAATTGACTCTTAAAACTGTAGGTAATCGAGATGTTGTCGAGAAAATAAGTTAACTTCATAAATAAGTTTAAGCTTCGAAATTGCTTATATTTTAACTACATACTTCTTTTAAAGCAATTTGTCTAGAAAGTGATAGGGAAGTTGTGATTGTAAACAGCGTCATCCAAGAAGTTTTATTTTCTTTCAGTATTAAAATGTTTGCGACTATCGTCAGATCCAGTCACTTTACGACTGAAAAAGGGTGAGTTTATCAGTGAAATATCCAATAAAATGTTTATTAACTTATATACATACGTTGAACTATGACATTCAATACAAGCTCTGCGGTTTCCAGTAATAAAATTCGTGTATACCCAAGTGGATGAAATAAGTCGCTACAAATAAGAGTGGCGATACTCCGAGTAAATTTATAGGCGACTCTTGGGATTCCGCCGTATACCTTTAAGGTTCGCCCAACGAATATCATAACAAAATAATGACTTGAATTTCATACATTAATAAGTGAATATTTTAGTAGTGAAGTTAGTATAGGTGACATATTTTTTGCATTACTCGGTGCGAAACGATATTTTTAGAAAATTATGACCTCAGCTTCATAACTATGTCTGATAGCACGACGGTTTTGCAGACCCACAGATCAAAGCGAACGTGAGGCGTTATCTGTCCGCCGCAGCAGAGCGTCGAACTAGTGGGCCGCTACGCACAAAACACGATAAGTGAGCATTCTTTGATATTCTATGCTGGATCCATCCTTATTCACCTTCTATATATTTAATGTAGTAATTTGTGCTGTCATCATCATGTCCTATAGTTAAATTTGAAAATCTTTATATATATTATTCATATACTATGTCATATAATTTTTTTGCTCTTGTTTCCGAATCGCAATTTCCCGGAAATCCATTGAGCAACTATAGGGTAAAGAAATAACAAACACCTATATTCACTGACACATAAACTTTTGCATTTTTAATATTGTGTGACAAAATGTCGATGACATATTAAAAATTACTTAACACAGTGGATATAATCAAAATGCTCTACATACTCGTAATCCTTAATTTTTGACGGTTAACCCTTAAACCTATATTAAACCACACGCTAATTGCTTTTATCTTAAATCCATTAATTTTAAACCCACACGTTTATAAAAATAACGTTGATAATAATTGATAGATGACGAATTGAGTTTTAAAATATATTTTTAAACATTTCTATTTTTAAACGTCTTCCCTCGGATATCCTCAGCTTTATTTAGTCGCATTTACATACATTAGTCGTATTTAGTCCCTTATTTTGGGTGTAATCGTATACCGACCCTCCTAAACTTTGACAGCTGATATCCGACTGCGATAAGCGATCGGCGGTACCATATGTGTCGCAGACGGGTCACCCTCACCCCGTGTAGTTTTAATGAGTAGCATTAGAGGGAAGAAAACGTAGTTTTCAGTCTTTGTGGACTAAAAATAGTTCATATGTATGAAAGTGTTCAATAAATAAACATCTCGCTGTTAAATGTACATATTAGATATGTATCTTAAAGATATTATTAAGCAATACTAATTTTATTTTTTACACATCTTCAATGTATCAATGTTTCTGGTGTACAGTAATGCTTCAAATTCAAAAATAAATAAATTTCAAACACTAATCTCTTCTCATACTTGTAACAGGTGTGGGTGGTAATATTTTATCAAATAATAAGGCTAGATAAACGTAAATATGTTATTAAGAAAAGCGTGAGCATTACATAAACAAGACGAAATATGCAACTCATGGATAGAACTCAGAATTATGTTTGAATAGATACTATACGTTGGAACTGCCAATAGAGTATTATTAGTTATTACTTATAAATTACCTAAGCAATATTATTTTCTTACAAATTTAATTAAATACTTAGAAATATACAAAAGTTAACTACTTAAAAATAAAATTGTTTTAATTGAATGTGCCCCGTAAAGATATTGACGAAGATATGAAGCATTCTTAAATAAATTATTTTCATTTATCCCTTCGAGACCGCGGGACATTGATTGCAATTAATAAAACCCGACCCCGTTACTATGATGAATCTATGAAATGGAACAGTCACGTGCACAAAGCTGAATCGTTAACCTTCGAACACTTCGGATGCTTATAAAATATTTAGAATAAGTGAGCTGCTTGCAAGTCGCTTGGTTTGGCTTGTGAATATTGGTATATTAAAAATTTTATACCTATAGTGCTATTTTATTAAATTTACTTTCTTATTATAAGTAAACAACGAAAATATAGTGAATATGACGATTAATATCAAGAAATCAAACAGCATATTGATAGTATTATAAAACATTTATAACTTCAGTCATAACGACACCGTTTTTATATTATATGCCTTTGTATTTTATGTGTTGTATTAGTAAGTAATGTCATGTTCAACAGCTAGCAGCATTGCACATTGTTATAAATATTTTCAACATTTTATTTTTATTTCTGACTCGATAGAGGATAACTTTTTAGTAAATTATACTAGCGACTCTCGGCGATGGGTGTCTCTAGGTACGTTTTAATATTTGGAGCGGAACCCTAATTCTTTATCTAAAATAAAAGTAGCCTAAGATACTCCTTATAAAATCAGCTATCGGACAGTGAAAATTTCATCAAAATCAGTCCACCTTTTTCAGAGATTAAATGGAACAGACAGACAAAAAAAAATTAATAATTGTGTTTTTCTTATAAATACCGTATATTATTTCATATGCATTTAGTAAACTGTAAAAAGCTGTTATTTTGCACGACACAATAACTTTATCTAACGTAAAATTAAACAATATTCAATGAATCAATCAATTACCAACTACATTTTCAATATAATAAACAAGCCGATAAATATCATGTATGATTTATGTCCAATTGATGATCGAACTCTGCAATTCAATCTACTCATTGTATGTCAACATCTTGGTACTATGTTTTTCTTAAAATCTTGTTTGAATTTAATTTAACAGAAACAAATTGTCCATCTTTCTGGAATTAATTGATGTAGTATAAACAATTTCAATTTAATTAAAAGGTCGAAAAAGCTATCTATCGTTGGCTAGTGGTAATTTGTAAAACATAAATCGTATTTAGATCGGCATCGCCGCCATCGAGCAACTCGAACAGCAATTCGTCGAGTAACTCGTCGAGCAACGGGTCGGGGGTTCAGTCGGGCGAAAGTTGTGAGGCACTTTTGACGGAGGAGAGAAAACCACGCGTCACTCAGCCGAAGTTTGAAGCGTATATGATGACCGGTGATCTTATACTCAATCTATCGAGAGTAGAACATCCACACCACAACCACCACGCGCCTACACATCGAACACATTATCACAGGTGAACTAAACAAGGTGTACTAATGTCTAATTGATAATAAAACAATAACAAATATAAAAATAATCAAGTTAATAAGGTTTTCACATTAAGTATGTGTATTTTAAGCGCAATATTGTTGGTGAAGGCTATAATTGTGAATCGATGAATTTTATAATCAGACTATGAAAGATAGTTCCATATACCGTTTAAGAATAAATTGCAACGGTAAATATTTTTAAATTACTTTAAAGGTAATTTTGAAGTTTTTGTACCTTTTGATTAAAAGTGAATATATGTATATGTTCTTTATATTTTTTCATTGAACTTATTTTGATGGTTTTGCTTCATCTCTATCACATTAATTAATTTATACTTATTAATAGTTAGTTTAGTACGTAAATTAACAAGTAATTTATAATATATTATAATTGTTATAGATATAATTCAACACCTGCCTCACCAAGTGAAACTCGGTTAGCAGCTCGAGTGGAATTATCGCAACGGCACAATTCTTCACCCGATACGGGCTTAGTTGGTGACCATGCCAGTAAAATGTACATAATATATATTCTATTAATGCTACCTTCCGCTATAACAAGTTATTGCTCGCTTTCCAGATGAAATCATGATAGGCATGAAATAACTAATACATATGTCTTTTTTTTTCTAAAAGTATAATTGTCTTTACGGGATCTCGACATCGTAATTGTTTGTAAGTTTATATATGACATAATGTAACAATCCCATAAATATTATAAATGCGAAAGTTTGTTACATAATCACGTCAGAGTGGCTGAACGGATCTGGATGAAATTTGGCACAGAGATAGAATATAGTCTGGAATAGCACATAGATTTCTATTTATTCCGGAAAAATATACGGTTCAATACACGGTAGATTTGTTTCTGTTTTTCACTAGGAACAAAGCGAAGCGAGGGTGAGTCGCTAGTTATACGATATAGTATATACATGCATGATTTCGGCATTGATTCATAAAATATGTAAATATTGTATCGACCCCGAATACTTACATCGAATAAAAAAAAAGTTATGTTAGGGCCAATAATATAAAACAAAAATAATTAAGAATTTTTGTCTGTTTATACCACGTTTTTGCGCTAAGAGTCCGAATTCAAAACATAGAATTCATTTTAATCGGTCGAGATTACTCAAAGTTAATCTTGAACTTCTCTTTTTACACTACTAAACAAAGCGTTACAGGCAAATCCGCAGGCAGTGACTGGTAAATATTGTATTTTCAGGTTCAACTCTCAGCCGGCGTCGCCCGCGGGAGGGACCGCCTCCTCAGAAGTAGCGACGCGCACACAGCATATAGTCAGAACTTCGAGGTCAGAAGATCATTTACAGGTAAATAACAGTTGTTAACACTGCTATAGTGTAGTGAAATTATATAATAATAGAGTTAATATATTTACTCAAGTGGAAATATGTACAAAATAAACTCGTTGATAGCTGATATCTCATAAATTTATTGCTCATACGTTATTAAATTAACTTTAATTAAATATCGCGTAGTTGAAAACACTTTATTTCATGTAAACATTGTACATGTTAAATGAATATAGCTTAAATTTTAGCGCATTTAGTATGCGTATGTTGTTGATTTAAGACACTGTCTGACATGTCCAATATTTAGTAGTTCATGGTCAGGTACAATGTGTGTAGGCGGTTAGTTGTTTCCCCTATTGATTTATAGTTTTCTTATACAGTTTATTTGCTAATTTAACAACGTATTACGAGGTCAAGGGCTTGGCGGATTACAATAATCTGTTTTTGTTTTTTACGTAATAATTAAAGTTACTATACGAAAATGTATTAAACTTGAAGTTTGAACTATTTAACTCTATTTTATATTTTGGACTTCACACGACCTTTAACACCTCCAGCCTCCAGGTAAATTTCTAAGAAAGTAATTAAAATTCTAAGAAATTTATTGTTAATTGACTGATACGCCGGCGCGTCCGCGGTCGAGGAGAGATTAACAACGAAAATCGTACATAACTTTATCAACCTCATGAAGGGAAGAACGAACCTACAAAACTGACAACCCCTGACCTAAAGACGTTAGTATATATGTATCAGATTCAGAACGTAATGCTTGCGCGATGTAGAATACTACTAAAGCCATCTATTGTTGAATTCGCTAAACTAAACAACTCGAACAGTTACAAAGTAAGTGTATTAAAAAGGTCGTCATGTGCTTATACTCGTATGTAGTAATGTCGTCAGTAGAAGTACTGAATATATTCAAAGAGCACACGGCAAGTTCCAGAAGGAGTCGTCGCTGAGCGCGGTGGCGGTGGAGATGGAGGAGGACGTGACGTCGTCGCTCAACACGCTGCTGGACGCGCGGCCCGACTCCGCCACGCCGGCGCCGCGCGCGCCCGACGACCGCGACAGGTGCGCGCTTGTATTGTATGACGACACGTTCGGCTCAGTTTGTAGTGCCAGCGGCCGCGGGTTCGACTCCCGCTAGAGGGTATTAAGTTGTATGTTATTTTAAACTTTAAAATTTAAAAATACTATAAGGTACTTTGGTGCCATTTTTCAATTTTTTGAGTTCATTTTGTTAATTGTGGGTAGGCTGTCTGTAACAACTATATAATACCTTTGAGACATCTATCACCTTACTCTCTCGTGTGACCATGATTGCTGTAAAGCATTCGAATGGTCGGGAACCAAAAATCCAAATAAATCCGCGCAAAAATCCGAAAACATACTTTTATTTAAAATCATTTTTTTTAGTTCTTATGTTGTTGAATATTATAGATGCAACAATAATTTTCTCCTTAAGTAGGTAGGTATAGTTTACCACAGGACAAAAACTATAAAACTTATTTTAAGCCCGCTGCACAAAATGCCTGCGTGTAAACCCCGGTTTTATGACTTACCTTAGTTTCTGTACTCAAAGTCCATTTGGCCTCAAAGAGTATTTTGATCACATTATAAAATAGGAAAATTTGGTAACACTGAATATTTCGTAACGTCGTACAATAGAGTACATGTAAGAGTCATTACAACAGAGTTATAACTGAAATCCGCTGTATATCTTAAAAGTCCTAACCTATTTGAACGCTCTTGTGAGAGATGAATAAAATTAAAATTATTCCTATTAAGCAAATCTCATTTAAAAACACTATGAAAAATAATTACAGACACTAACTTAAAACATCCCTCGAGTACAACATTAGAAGTTAAAATTAACAATTTTAATTGAAAATGATAACACAAAGTAGATGTTTTAGAAATGATACAATAAAACTAATTTTAGATAAATTAAATTCAAATACTATGTAAAATATTAGAGGTCATTCAATGCTGCCACATGTAGGAATGAATGCTCCATGCTAGATGATAATCCCATTTATCCGTTGGGTCATAAAATATTTCATATAACTATGTAACAAGGCTGTTTCGGGCTTTGGGCGCGCGCCAAAGGTAGCACGTGTTTATAGCATACAATAGATTAAGGGCTCTTAAGTAAAATTCAAATATAAATAGTGTCAGTACAGGCCATTTTGGTCAAGGTCCAGTAGCAGTTCAGTATCTGTTTTTAATGATGCGTAGATGTAGGTTTATTATGTTAGCAAATATATATTTATGTTTATACATATAGAGCAGGACTTTAAACCGAATTTTAGGGCTAATCGACTAATTGTAATGGAATTGGTATTAAAGGCGAAGGCGCTAGCGACCAAAAACTGCAAGCATTCTGTAAAGGCTGACGTTTTAATATTACGTCACATTGCTGGAGGAAAGAAATAGCCTGCCGTTAGTTAGCCGGTTTCGCTAGCTTGGCATGGGGACTGCTTTAATTTTGTAAAAAACTATACCTCGCTAGTACTTTCTATAACCTGAAAATTAATTTGCGAGCAGTATATTAATTAAAAATAAGTTTTACGACGTTTTTTTTTCTTTAATTAAAATTTACCCTTTGAGAAAGGTACAAATATTAATATGTAAAAGCTGTAGACTTGACTTCTACTACATTTGAAACATTTGTCTAACATATTTTTTTTTAAATATATTCAACATACAACTTTGAACCTGTTATTAATTAATAGATGTATAATTAATTATTATTGTATGAGTTAGTATTTAATACCAGAAGCGCAAACAAAACAATAGGAATAGGTAATTATATATTAATTATAATAATATACACCTGACCGATTTCGGCCACGGCGGCCAATATCACTGAGACTAGCCAGATGCGCAGGAAATATAGTGCAGGGCGTGTATGCGCAGACAACGTGTACTCTCAATTCCACACCGCCAACTTCCCAACTCCCAGCTACTACTTAGAATATCTAAACAGAAAAACTCAGTAATTAAACTTGGCCTAACCTGGGACTCGAACTCTGGATTTCCAAATGTGCCGTCGTACATGCTAGCCACTACAATACCTAGCCGTAACATAATCCATAGAGGAGAAATAAATAACATTAATGTCTTAACAGGATCGTATGGACGTACAACGCGCCGGTGTCGCAGTGCAACGGCTCGGCCGCCACATCGAATTCCACCTCCATATCAGATGGCATCTCGCAGCGGTAAGGTTTTTAAAAATATCTGTGATTTTTATAGTGAATAAATATTTCTCTACGTTCTCCCTAGCTAGTGGCTAGCATAGACTTGGAAGGCCTGGATTTGAGTCCTAAGTCGGGCCAAGTATAGTTATTGAGTATTCTGGATAAACAGGTTTTGTTGTCTGGACTCATAGGTCCGATTTAAAGAAATGTTTTTGCATTTTATAGTCGATATAGAAATATACGTTCATATAGGAATGTTACAGATTACTTTGGCAAAAGAACTTCAATAATGTATGAAAAACTTAATGAATTATATATATTATAACAATTTACAACATTATACGACCATAATTGTTAAACATTTGTGTGTATGTTTGTTATTTTTTCATACTGAAATTACTGGTATGTTTTGAATGAAATTGAGTGCACAGATGGGACTTGAGTAACACCGAGGCTTCTGTTAGGTACTTAAGGCGCTCTTTTCCAGAATTTAGGATATTTTGAACCATTATTAAACCACGAATTTAAGAACGCATATAGAAGTTGCTAGTAAGCATACAACGTACGATTGTGAGTGATATTTATTTGTGTCCCAGTTCGTCGTCGCCGCTGTCGCCGACGTCGGCGTCGTGGTCGGCGCTGTCGCCGCGCGCCACGCCGCCGCACCGCGCGCTGCCGCCGCACCACCACCGCACGCTTAACGGTAAAGTACCGACTCTCCTACACCTCTACGTCCTCACTTACACATGACCACCACCACCACATGAGTAAAGAAAAGGAACAGAGACAAATCTTCTAAGGAGCGAATAAAATGTTTTTCTATTTACCTGGTAGGGTTGGCACAGGAGCATAAAATTAAATAAACAAAACGTTTATCAGCTTTTTATTAAACAACTGTGATAGAATTTCTTTTTACAAATTACTTATTTTTTGTAATTTTTGTTTTTCAATAAATTCTTTAATTGAACGGTAAATTCGAAATCTAACATATTTTTTTTTAAATAACCTAATGGAAAACATTCTTGACCACGTATTAAAATACTTTCAAACCGTGAAACGATAGCAAACACGACGCGCAGTGTCCAACAGTAGCGTCTAAGGCATGAGTTTGAGCACAGGCCGAGCCAGTATAAACCGGTTATTTTCCCTACGCGAAGAAGCCGCGAGTTTGTAGTAGTGTACCTATCATAACGCGTTTGTATAATGCTCCATTTCTTATGTGCTTCACTGTATTTGCCTTTAGAATAGATACATTTTTATACGGTGAAGAAAAATATAAGAAAATCTGCTTATCTGAGAATTTTTTTTTTAGTAAAATATATGATGTGATTAAATAAAATCTTTGGCTTCAACAAAATTAACCGATTCCATATTCGCGTCATAAGTTATAAATAACACGTCCCTTAGAGTCAGAACCTTTAATTTTTTCACTGCATAAAATAGTGTATAAGGATTTATAAATAATATTTTATTTTTTATTTGTATTCTAAATATTTCACGTTTTTTATATTAAAATAATAATTATTTGCTTACAGGTGATATGAGTTTATCGGAAGCAGTTTCAAATATATCTAGTCCAGATTACCAAGACCAAGACGACATGTTCGATACGGGTAGAGAATGCCCTAGAATGGAGCTGTCGGATCCCTCGGATTCGGATTCAACAATATTAGTATCAGAACCTTGCCACAAACGAGCAAAGTCGAATTCGACGTATTCCGACCATGGAAGTGACGTCACGCTCAATGGAGACAGTAAGGACTATAGGATAGTGATACAAGTGAAGGGACCAGAGAAGAACGCAACGAATGATAATGTAAATAATAATAACAATAGTAATTATGCACAAAACGGTAAAGAAAATGGACATAACTCTCCTGAGAATCAAGGTTATCAGGTAAATAACATTTTTAAAGTAAATATTAATTATAGGACTACAAACATAATTATTCTAATTCAGTATTGCTATTTTATTAAGATTGCTATTCGATTACATCGCGTTTTTGACTTGCTTGTTCAGATAGCAGTCTAAAAAGTGTCATTGCACTATCATTATATAATAAAGTAAATATATTTTTTTCAACTAATTTTTCTAGCATAATTTAATGCAAAAATAATACTATATATAATTTTTTAATTAAACCAAACAATATTTATAGGAGCTTTGTAGCGGTTCTGATGCGGGTTCCGATGAGGGCTCGGATGGTGACTCGCTTCACTCCTTCCACTACAGTCCGAAAGCAGTAGACATACCTTCTGCGGAGCGGCTCGCTAAAAGGTTGTACCATCTTGATGGCTTCAAAAAATCAGACGTGTCGAGGCATTTAAGTAAAAAGTAAGTATAATAATTCTTATATAACTAAGTAATAGTAAGGGAGTCCAATAGGGGATTTTGGGATTTATTCAAGCGCGGCATGTTCACATAAGATACTTTGCACCCTGTTGAGTACCTCCAACATATATAAGTCTGTATAAGGTCGCGCGTCTAGGGCGATCAGAAGAGTAAAAAATATTTTAATTTTATAACTTGAAAAAGGATTTTATTCAAAAGTGAAAAATATGCAGACTAAGACTAAAACTATAAAAAGACACTGCACAGTACAATTTATTTCTTTCATACAACTATTATTCATGGTATAACAATAAATTTATATATGATTTCAGTAACGAATTTTCGCGAGCCGTAGCAGAAGAGTACGTGAAACACTTCGAGTTCAGCGGAGCGACATTGGACGAAGCTCTACGAGCGTTCCTAGCGCGGTTCGCTCTAAGCGGGGAAACTCAGGAACGTGAACGAGTCCTTGTGCATTTCTCTAGACGATACTTAGAATGTAATCCTGGCGCGTTTAATTCACAAGGTAAGTGTGAAATGGTGGAAAGATGTGTATTGCATGTGAAAGAGGAAAATTTATTTCCTTGGATGTATATTTTAAACATATTTATGAAGAAAACTCGACTTGCCTTCGCTTTGCTCAGTTGCGTAGATACGTTATAATGTTTAAGCGGAACCCGTAATTATTTTTCTAAAATAAAAGTAAATTAAATGGCTTCTTATAACATCAGCAAAATCAGTTCAGCCGTTTCGGAGATTAGCCGAAAGAAACAGATAGACAAAAAATAAAAAAAATCATGTTTTGCTTATAAATACCGTATATAATTTCATACGCATTTTAGTAAAAAAAACTGTTACTGTTTATTTTGATATTACAAACATACACTTAAATATTATTTATCTATATAGATAATTTTGTTTGTGACATTTATGTCTTTACTTATGTACATAAAATTTTGCAACAGTATTGACTAGAACTATAATTGTACAACCCAATATTGTCCTTGGGAGAAAGGTTCCCTCTGGGCTTAGAATAAACTCCAGTGATCGGATTGTGGTTAAAAATTTAATTTCACCAACATTACTTATATAAAACATCTTAACCAAACGATAGCGCGTTTTACAACACATCTAATACCATATATTACAAATATATCTACAATCATAATATATTAAAATTTGAATATAGAATTTACATGTAGGAATTTATTATATAGAAACTTATACATAAACTTATACAACTACTAGCGGCTCACCCTCGCTTTGCTCAGGTTCGTCTCTAGAAAAACAAAAACAGATCTATCCCACGGGAACCGTGCATTTTTCCGGGATAAAAAGTAGTCTTTGTGTTATTCTCTATATATAAGCTATATATTATTGTAAAGTTTCATCAAAATCCATTCAGTAGGTTTTACGTGAAAGAATAACAAACATACATCCATACATCTATACTCACAAAGTTTCACATTTATAATATTAGTATAGATTAAATGATTAATGAACGCCCTCCTGCTCGTGGTCCGCAGACGCGGTGCACACGCTGACGTGCGCGATCATGCTGCTCAACACGGACCTGCACGGCTGCGGCAGCGGCACGTTCCGGCGCATGTCGTGCGCGGAGTTCATCGAGAACCTGGCCGAGCTCAACGACGGCGACAACTTCCCGCGCGACACGCTCAAGCACCTCTACCACGCCATACGCAACACGCCGCTGCAGTGGGCCCTGTTAGTATACACTTACATACGTTTAGATATACTGATTGTCCCGTTAATATTGACGACACATTTGGCTCAGTTTGTAGTGACCATTACCATGGAACTAGATGGTGTTGTGTGTAAATATCCTGACATATTTATGTTAATGTTTAATAGTAGTCCAAACGAAAAGTGGCGAGGGATGAGATCGTGCCCTATGAGCAAAGCTAAAAAAAATTTAGTAAAACTTTTCAGTTTTCAAGATTTTATTAAAAAATTATTACATTAATACATATAATTTATGCCATTTTATTGAAATAGCGAAAACGTAACTTCTTTTTATTGAATATTATGTTTGACTAGATGTGCAACTGAATATCTATTAGAGTTTCTCAACAACATGAACAGTTTATAAAAAATATTAAAGTTGCAAATTTCATTGAGAGAACATTTTTCATCCAAGTTTAAAGTACTGTGGTGTTAAAAAAATTACTACGTCCTTGATGCCCATTGACTTAAAAAATAGTGCAAGGAATGAAGATATAAAAAAACGTAAACAAAGAAAAAAATTCAATAAAACAAAAAAGTTATTGCTATTTCGTTTTAAATAAAACTTTCATTACCGAAGATCATAATTTTTGAATAAAAGTTTTTGGTCTGATCTTTACAGTAAATCTCAAAATATTGTAAAACTTAGAGATTGTGGCCAAATGGAACCAAAACTAACAACAAAAGAAGTTTTCGAGTTAATCAATTTATAAAAACACTAATGATATGGCAAATAGTATGCAAAAAATAAACCAAAAAGTATTATTATTATTCTTTTATTTTTCTCTAAAAGAATGTTTTCTAATAAAAGAACGTTTGATTCATTGTGCGTATCCAGTATTATTAATTTCATGAGCAGCTGTTTGGATACGCGCAGTTCTTGAATATTAACAATCCGCTTCTTGTACACAACAAAACCTCACCGAACCACAACGAAATTTATTATATATTTATAAAAGAGCAATATATATTATGTAGTTGAATAGTACTATCTAATATCCAAAATAATTATAAATGTAAAGGTTTATGAGGATGGATGAATAGATGTTTGTTAGTCTTTCACGCCAGAACGGCTGAACGGATTTGGATGAAGATTTAGCCCAGAGATAGATTATAGTCTGAAATAGCACACAGATTAATTTTAATCCCGGAAAAATGTACGGTTCTCGTGGGATAGATTTGTTTTTGTCTAGGGACGAACCCGAAACGAAGCGCGGGTGAGTCGCTACTCACTCTCTCTATTTCGTTTATCTATTTCCAGGGACGTAGAAACAGCACCTCCCAGTGGTGAGAACCGTGCCAGTGCGCCGGTCGGCAGCAATCCCTTCTTAGACCTGCCCGATCAGAGTCGGGCTGTGGAGTACAAGAAGGGATATGTTATGCGCAAGTGTTGCTATGATGCTAATGGCAAGAAAAGTAAGCATTTTGTTGTATTTTAATTAATTAAAAGTATCAGTGTATTAAATATTATGTAATATGTTTGTTATACACTATAATTTATGCAAATAATATAATCATTGTAGAATATCAGTAATAATAATAACAGAGTTTTTTTATTGAGTTATCTCTCTGTACGTAATTTCGAAAATTCTTTAAAAGTATAAGACACCTATAATATGACAATATATTTGCAATAAAATACATAATTTTCTTTAGCTCCGTTCGGGCGTCGTGGGTGGAAAATGTTTTATTGCACATTGCGCGATCTAGTCTTGTATCTGCACAAAGACGAACATGGATTCCGACGGAGTCAAATGTCGGATAATTTGCACAACGCCATAAGGTATACTAGCTACGCTTTTAAATTTTACCTAACAAACAATTAACTTTTAAGTCCTTTATTTATACAAAAAAAAAAATAGACAAACTATTTTAATATGTTAATTTTTCCCAATTGTTAATTTTTAATGTAATATATTAATAAGTTATTTTTAATGATCTTTTCTCCACAGAATACACCACGCATTAGCAACTAAAGCAACGGATTATACTAAAAAGCAACATGTGTTCAGACTTCAAACAGCGGATCAAGCTGAATATTTATTTCAAACTAGGTACTTTAAAAAATAACATAGAATTAGAACATTCAATTATATGTTTGTAAATTGTTTTGAATACAAGATCACAAAAATTATTTTGAAACAACACAAAGTCCACCAATCAGTACTTTTTTAGCAAGTGTGCACTATGGCTTAATCCCGCTCGCTTTGAAGCCGTGTCCAGTAGGTGGACGTTAATTAAGGGCTTGCACAGCCCTTTATTAACGTGCCCCTTCTGGGTACACTCGCACACACATCATGGATGTACAAACAATATAAGTAACATAACACAATTTTTCAGTGATTCAAAAGAGCTATGCTCGTGGGTGGAGACGATCAACTTCGTGTGCGCGGCGTACTCCGCGCCGCCGCTGGCCGGCGCCGTGGGCTCGCAGCGCAAGTTCCAGCGGCCGCTGCTGCCCTGCACGCACACTAAATTGTCTATGGTGTGTGAAATATACTCGTACAGTATAAAAGTATTAAAGATTCTGCCCACTACACCGTCTCATACCATGACCGTGCTATGAACGTATCAGCACGAAAACGAACATGGTACGGACTACTATGCCCACTAGAACTTATCAACAGCGTCGCATACCCATATACAACATTTCTAGCGTTGCATATGCTCACCATTGCGCTCTCCGTCCGTTGATTTTGACGGGAATGCTGTCATAGGTTATCAAAAAAAAAAACAATTTTTACGATTGCCATGTCTTTTCGTTTCGTATCTAACGACTATACTGAGTATCAAGTCTGTGCTTATACTGTAGAGTGTCATTAAGTATTTTTTTTATATAGATTTCTTACAAATAATTCAACATAAAACAACAATATGTTATATATAAGGTTGCGTATTTGTACATGTGATTTAGATGTATTTTACTCCTAATTTCATTATTATCATATTTTCTCCATTTACAAAATATAATTGCCACTATTTTATTTTTTTATAATATTTTAGGTAAATTAAATCTGATATCTTAATAAATTTAAAAGACATTTAATCGTATTTAAATACATACAATATTAGTTAATAATTAACAAAATAAAATGTATATAAATTTTCGCAAATATTTGACATTTTAAGTAAAGCTATCTTTTCGGATTTTCTTGCGGATTTAATATAATTTTTGGGTTTCCGACGCTTCGAAACTAAAAATCAAAATAAATCCGCGGAAAAAATGATTTTATTTAAAACTAGCAACTCAAAAGTATCCTATGTCCTTCCCAGGGTCTCAAACTATCTTCTTACCAGATTTCATCTAATTCGGTTCAGTAGATCTAGAGATTACCCCCTACAACGTCACAAACTTTACCTCTTTATAATATTAGTATAGATTTGGTAAATTAAAATCTTCACGAAACATTTAATCGTATTTAAAAACATAGAATATTAATTAATTATAATTAACAAAATAAAATGTATAAAATTGTTTGCAAATATGCGACATTTTAAAGTTAATTCTTTATAATATTAGTATATTTACCTCTTTATAATATTAGTATAGATGTATAAAATGATTCAGAGGGAGCAGCTGGCTGAGCACGAGGAGCGCGCGGCGCGGCTGGAGGAGGAGCTGGCGGCGCTGCGGCACGCGCGCGACCACCCGCACGCGCACCGCGACAAGGACCACTACCTCGTGCACGAGGTGAATAATAATACCTACTCTTTATTTTACACCTTAAAAAGCAAACAAACATAATCTATACAGATAAATAAAATTGAAGTGTATGTTTGTAATGTCAAAATAACAGCTTTTTACTAAATGCATACGGAATTATACACGGTATTCATAAGAAAAACACAATTTTATTTTTTTTGTATGTCTGTGTATTTGTTCTTCTCTTCTACATTTATCTCAGTAAAAGAATTAGGGTTCCGCTTAAAAAAATAAAATGTAACTATACAGTCGCTAGTTTATAATAATAGGTGTTCGATAATTCAAATTGCAGATAAAGAGGTACCGCACATACGCTTACGTGATGCGCATGCGCGGCGGCGGCGCGGGCGCGGACGAGAGCGCGCCGGCGCTGCCCGAGCGCGCGCAGCCGCCGCCGCCCTGACGCGCCATGGCGCTCTTCGCGGCCTGCGTGCTCTGATGCTACGAGCCCCGCGCGGCATAGGCATCCTACATAGACACCCTACCTCTCCTGTGTAGTGAATGTTAGTGTCTAACCCTTGCCCCGAAGGAAAATGAAAAAGCGATCACTTATATAGCTCATTGTTGGATACGTCACGATCATTATTGTTATTGTTCGTTTATGTATTTCGATATAATTTTTATTTGTATGTATATTATTATATGATAATTTATAATTAAACCAAAAATATAAATAAATTCCAATGTAACGAGTGAATGTGGCGTGATAATGATCTATATAAGATATTGTGCAAAAAAAAGGTTCCATTAACTCCTTAGACTGCTGTAGTGCACAAGTGAACCGTACGAAACGGGCGAGGCGGTCCGCGCGGTGAGCGAGTGAAAATCCCTATATAATTGACAATATTGTATATTAAAGATAATGATACCCTTTTACTGTTAATGCATTGAGAATTTTTTGTTTCTCTTTTTTTTATCCGGCTTAAAAAATGCTTTGCCTGCGTGTCAAAGGTAGTTTGTGTGAAAGTGAAACCAAAGTGTCACAGTCAATGCCCACCTTATTTCAAAGTGTTGCGATATGAAATTTTGATAAGTTAATTAACATCAAACCTAGAGTTGGTCCAAATAACGATTTCTAAATTGAACATTTTTGTTGCTATTAACAAAATTACATCAAATATTGTCGATTAATTATTACAAAATACGATATGAAATATTCGGATGAAACTTTGTTCTACAAAGTCATCTCTAACTAATATAATGGATAATAATAAGTTATCAGGTACAATACAGTAACATCCTGTGTATGCTCCATATTTTAAGTTATTGAGGATGTTGAATTACCTCACATTCTATAAGACTTGGGTGTAGTATAAAACTCTAACAAGTGATATATATTTAGGGTGAATTAAGTAATTTAAAACTAAGAATTCATCGTTGTTGAAATTAATGCCGTGAATAGTTATTCTGTACCCATTACATTGATAAAGTTTAGATACAAAAAAGATAACTTTAAATAAAGCTTGAGTTCTCTTAAGCATTATATACAATTAATTTCAGTTGTATTTATGCAGAAAATTTGGATTCATTTTTTTTTATATTTTTTTATACTGATACTTAATAAAGTATAAGCAGTTTTTACATAGGCTTAGTCCTTAAAAATGACACAATTTGTATGATTACTATATCATTGTAGCAATTCGCACATTTAACTTCTCCGAGTAGTTATAATAAGTGATTATCATTGTTAAATAATAAATATATTTAATATTTAAATAAAATATTTCATAAAGTTTGGCGCATAGAATTGAATAGTATAGATTATAGGACAGTTTAAATGGAATTAAAGGAGTAAATGTGAATTGCCGACATGTTGACATCAAAGGATATAATTTTTTTATACTTATTTCTAGATCTTATAGAGACTATATAAATGTTTTTTTTTATTCCTAAACTACCATTGGCAATTTACAATTATTACTCCGTATTCACATGTTAATCCTGTCCGATTTTCTTTTGGATGTCTAAATCAAAACTATTTTTATGTTACAGATAAACAAAATTTATTATTCATGTCAACACTGGGAGCTACTCATTGATATTTCAACAATATTTCTAATGCAATCCGGTCAAATTTGTTAAGTTTAAAAAATAATAACAAACTTGCCTTCATTTTCTAGGATTTGTGTGAATGCAGGGTCAGACAAAATGTCATCAGCCTGAAAATGTAGTGTCATGTAACTTTTTAGATCATTAAACTCAGGCATAAGACTGAATGCGATACTCATACCACATTCCATTGATACATAACATTTTCAATAGATGCGCGATATCACAAAACTTTCTATATTAATCTTCAATCAACGTTACACACCTAACAGTACTCACGATCACGATTAATTTGTTTGTTACATTAATACTTCCATCTCATTTATTATTATGTACTAAAATGAAAAGTTTAGCTTTATAATAATTCACAAATTTATATACAGACAGATATTTAAGGAGAACAGAGCGTAAATTCGCAAAATGCTAGTCATTAAATATAGTAATTGGCAAATCTTTTTAAATAAGCGATATTTTATATATTGAAATGTAATGTTATCATTTTAAAAATAATGATAGATTAATAAATAAAAGCTAAATATAGTAACACTTTGTTTGGTTTCTTTTGAATTAATTATTTTTTAGCCATCGAAAATTAAAAGGCCATTTAAATTTTGTAAAGAGATGCATATATATCATGGTATGAGTACTGTTAGTAATTAATATATTGGTAATTAACAATCAGTAGTTACTGATTAATTTACGGTCATCTAGTCCTGTCTTCCTTAAAAAAAGCTTTGACACTTTTATTGCCAAAGTTAAAAAAAGTTTTGTTGAAAAAAGTATAAATATTCTACAAATAAACTTTAAACTACTTTTTTGATAAAATATTAAAGTGCATTATAAATGTAAGGGATGAGGATATGATACATTTGTGCTTAAAAGCAAGTATTATTAATTTAATGCTTAGTATAAACATATTGGCCCCACTGCATTGGTTTTCTCTAAGTAATGATGGCTGATTATGGATGGTAACAAAGTAAAAAAATTTTTTTTTTTTATGAAATCGTGAGGTATGAACCTGAGATGAATAAATATTTCTTACCTAATTCGTAATCTCAATTTTGGGTTCAATACTGTATAACAATATAATTATAAGAATCTCTAAAGTACTAATAAAATTAATGATAAAGTATGCACTATGCAGTCATATCATTAACGTTTTTATCAAATTCATTATGCCGTGTCGTTTATGGGAAAAAAGGATAGTTTCCAACTACAGTCAATGTAGCCTCTGAGCCATTCTCGTTATTTTTCATCTGTTTACAGATAAAATATAGACACCATGGGCAAGGCAAATTATTGATGTTCCCTCATAGTTACTCATCATTATTGAGAGCAGTGCTCTAATTTTATTATGTTTACTTTTTAGTAAATGGTAATATTAAATTAAAAAAATATTGGATATATACATTTTGTAACTGCAATTTTATTTCAACTAGTTCTTCTAAAGATGTAAATTTTGTGATTTGAAGAACCATTGTTTTGTAATGTTCAGTATTGGCATTAAGATAAAGGTTATATGCTTTAATTACTCTCTCTATTTAAATTGTAAACATTAGCTTCATTGTGTGAAAATTATTTATCATTCCATGTTTGTCTACAATAATATGCTTGAAACAGAACAAAATTCTGTGGTGATAAATGTTATACTTATTATTTGTTTAGTTATGCCTTAATACTTCATATAGATTTACTCAATATGTTATTTGACTTTTGGCTGAATTTATAACAATATTGTATATAGATTTTAAAGTATTGAGACTGATAAGTGAAGTTATTTATTTCTTATATAAATCAACCAGTGTCAAATGTTGGGGCTCATTCGACTTAAGCATCTAGAATCACAGATGCAACTTGGAATTGTATTGTAATTAATAACATACAATACAATTTTACTAATTTTATTAAAAATATCTAGTATACACGTTTAGTGTTTGCTCTTTTGAATAACGTTTTTTCAAATCGAGCTTTATTTATACTTTGTATAATTTTGCATAATTACGATTTATATTGCAATGATGTTTAGAGTCCTTCATTAAAGACAATTTTTGGGTTTTTATCTTTCCAGTCTATTGTGGTATAAATATATATCGTAGCCAGATCTTAAAATTGATCATGTCATAACACAGTCGACCATTCTGGGAAACGGTGGAATTTCACTATAAAATCAACTTTTACTAGCCATGTGATGTGAATCAATCTTACGATCTGCCCACGACATACATACCCTTTATGTTTCGATCATGATCAAATAAACATTTAGGTAATAAATAATTGTAGATAGATGGATAAACTTCCAAAAGCAGGAAAAAATGTATCTTTATACAAATATCCAATTTTATTAATATATTGCCTAAATTAAAATGTACCTAATATTGTAATAGCAACAACAATATAAGATACATTGTCAATAAATCATTGTTTTTTTTAAGTATGTTTACAAGTTACTTTTTATAATTAACTGAAATGTATAGTTTGGTTAGTTTTTTTTTTGTTTTTAATAAAAGTTTGCCTTGAGCTTTTGAAATTGTGTGCTTCCTCAATAACAAAAACACATGTATTCGACCGAGCTTGGCTCGGCGTTTTTTCGGTAGATATAAAAATTCCTTTTTTTTAGAAAACTTTTTTGGAAAAGTCTTCTATTGATAAAGTTAAAAAGAAAAACGTTATCTACATACAAAATATGGTCCAAATCTTTAAGCCGTTTTCGAGATATACACGAATACATAATATACAAGAATTAATTAATGAAACTAAAAATATATTCTCCCTATATTGACTGTCCGACGACATGTTTGGCTCAGCTTGTAGTGACCACGCTACTTGCTGTGTTAGCGGTCGCGGGTTCGAGTCCCGCTGGGGGCATTCATTTGTGTGATGAGCACGAATGTTTGTACTCCAGTCATCGGTGACGGGACACCCATGAGCCCGCGGCTCTGCCTGCGTTCAGATGACCAAAACCCAAATTCTTAGGTTTTACATAATTGTATACCTACTCTTACATATACCAATTTCATTTAAATGTGTATATAATATCATCGTGGTTTTATTCTAACTAGTTTTTGTATTTTTTCTCAGAAATGAGATATTTTCCCGCAATAAAAAGTATCCTATATGTTAAAATCCCTCCAGTGGTTTTTCTGTGATGCGGTAACAGACAGATTGACAAAAAAAATCTTAAAAACTGTAGATTCAGCCTCCGTATCAATAATAATGTCTATTTCAATAAGATTTTAAAAAAATATTTAATGTACAGTACAGATTCGACTTAGTTACAATTTTATTATATGTATAGATATGTATGTATTTAAAGTTATATATATATATGTAGTGTATCAACTATTTGGTATCCACAACACAAGCTTCGTAGCTTACCATGGAACTAGATAGTGCTGTGTGTTATGTCCCAACATATTTATATTTAATTATATTGACCGCGGCTAAGCCCGCAAAGTTAATATATGCAGAACTGCTCTGCTCATAAATGCAGTAGCTAGATGATATAAAGTACCTACTATCATATACGGGTGACAGAACAAATTAAATAAGTAAGATAAAGTTAGTAGTTTAGTTTATCAGTTATTTATAAAAGGATTTACTACATTGTAAATGCTAGGTATTTTAATCACTAAGAAATATTTAAACAAAACAAATTAATCTCAAATATTTATTTAACAAACAGTCAATCCAGGTAGTTATTTAAGATTCTTTCTATTAGTTTTAGAATTCTTGACTCAAAAAAAAATTAAGTTTGAGGTTTAATACCTAAATATTTTTGTTATATTGATTACATTGAAACAAATATATTTTATTATAAGCTGAAGAAACCAGCCAGAGAGCCAAAGGAACAGATGAATGAATGATGATACCAGATACATATTATAAATATAATTAATACTTTCTTAGATTTACGCGAATGTTTGACATTATTAAATAAAACTATCTTTTCGGATTATTTCGCGGATTTATTTTGATTTTTGGTTCCCGACGTTTCGAATGCTTTACAGCATCCATGGTCACGGGAGAGACTCTCCAAACCAAAAATCAAAATAAATCCGCGAAATAATCCGAAAAGATAGTTTTATTTAATAATAAATATAATTATTCAGTATAAATCCCAAATCTATTTATAAAATATAATACATCTTGATTTATAATACCTTATGAGAAATATAGTTTAATAACTAGTGTTCAAAGGTGCCCCCCTCTCCCCTACCGCTATGTGTGTCTTTTTCTAAATTCGTTGTGCAAAATTAAACTTACATTTGAATACACGAAAATTAAACACATAAAAAGTAACCGTTTCTGAGGTATTTTGATTGTAATTATTGCCATATAAAAATGATGACAATCATTTAAAATAAACTAATTACTTTTGTATTCAAATGATGTTTCCTATAATTTTAATAAACCTCAAAATATCTCGGAAACGTGACCTTGGAACCTTTAGGACAGCATATCCTGAGAATGTTTACCAGTCTCATGGATCACTAAAACTTAAAAAAAATAAAATGGCGACTCGTGGCTAATATATATAATGATAAAGATAAAATTGTCAACACAGCTAATTACTAAAACCAGATTTACTAAGTACCTATGCACACAACAACTTGCTGTCGATGCGCATTTTTATCGATACGAACACAATTAGCATTTTTTTAATTTATCAACAAAAAGTATACGGAGGTGGCGTACGTTCATGATGTGCGCGTTGCAGGCGAGTTTATGAAATGTGGTAGATAACGTTTATCAGCACAGAATAAGCACAGGCGAGCTCGAATTAGTTTTTGTGTGCATAGGTCCTCAAAAGTATACATACTATAGACATAATTCATAAGCAAATTGCTTATTTCCATTTAACCTGCTTGCTTATTCCAGGTGACTTTGTAATTATTGCAATAACTAGTGTAACTAAAAATGTATATTAGTACCTTGATCCAAATGAGTAATCAGTATTTTTTTGTAAAGGTCTTTGTAACGGATGGGCTAGCAATTTTGCTATACAATCATGAATTTTAGTGGCATTTTTAGATACTTCAAAAACATATGAGTAACCATTGTCTAAATTTTGAAGAGCATAATACACTTCCTCGCATTTGTATAGGGCACAATCTTCTTCATGTGCATATAAAATATCAATATAAAAATATAGTTGTTTCTTCAAAAAGTTAAAATATGCATCATCCTCTGTAATTAAAGGAATACAGTTAGATCTAGCATAGAGAACTACCATACGTACTACATATGGCGGAGGTATCATGCACTCGGACTGTTTATATTCTGGAATTTCTATTTCTTGTTTAATTATCTCAAAGATTTTATGAAAGTCAAAAGTTTCAGATTTACTTTCTTCAGAATTTACATAATCAATAGAATTGATAATTTCTTTAATATTACTAGTGAAATTTTGTATATAACATGGCACAGTGTCTTTCATTACTAACAAAGCAAATTCGGTTCTCTTGTTGATTGAATGTTTTGAATGTATGAAAAAATCAAGAACGCGTTTCAACATATTAATTGGCGTGTATGTAGTGCCATCTCCAAGTCTAAAAATAGAATTTAGATTATCGTAACAAACATCTAAACAAATAATAATTTTTTCTGGTATGTTAACATTCGGCAAGTTGGGTTTTTGAAAATTTGCTATCACTTGTTGCTGTAATTCTTCATAGTCCGTTTCTAATGTGTTCGTGACGTTAACTATTCTGAAAAATAAAAGGATAACAGGTAAATATACCGACGATTTGTAAAAATATTTTGAAGTAAAATATAAAAACATACAAGGATTCGTTGGTATCGTTAGAGCTATTAGAAGCCACTATAGGAGATTCCATATTAATTGTTTTTTTAATGTTCCAAGTAAAATCGATGAAGTCCTAGGAGATAGTAAAATATATATTATTATAAATTATTTTGTTTAATTTTTAGAAATTAAGATCATAGATCACTCATCAGCATCAGTCATCACAATCATAGACCAGGAACAAGATCACAATCTCCTGAGTAAAAGTGTTCTGTGATCACAATTCACATTTCACAATTCAATCACAAAATTCTATTTACCTGTCATTTGTCAAATGTCAATTTCATCAAATTGAAAATTCCAGATCAATAACATGATGTCAATTTATCTAATATAAATCGCAGATAAATAATAAAATTAATAAGCCCTAATGGACATGGCATAGACTATGGATTATACACCCTGTTTATAGCACTAAAGCGCATTCAATGATTTTATATATATTCCATATCTCTATCTTGCCACTATTCCACGCGGACATGACTTGTACAGTATATACCAATGTACTCAGTGTACAGTAATAACTAAGTGTACATATGTTTTGTATATATAATTAAGTATATTTGTAATTTTCTTTTTTGTAAATAAAGTCATTGTGTGTCAGCGAAAAAAAAAATGTGAAGTCGAAACTTCAAAATTTTATTGAATTGTCAAATGTTATTTGTCACTTGTCACTTGTCGGACTGGATGTCGAATAACCTATACGTTATATTTACAATTTGGTTATGTTTCACTTTATAACTATATTAATAACCTAATTGATTGTAATTAATATTTATTTAAAACATGGATTATAGTTACGAACAAACCAGTGAAGTTGAAGCATTAGATTCTATATACTATGGAGATATGCAAAGTAACTTTCGCAATAACATTATAACGGGGAAATAATTTAATATTGACTAAAAAGTTTAACATAACCATATTTTAGTTTTACAGACAGAACCAATGCATAAATTTAGTATACCTATAAAATCTGAAGAATATGACGATGGTGAAGGATTAGCCTGTCAATTGATATTCACATATACTCCAAAATATCCTGAAGAGTTGCCAATGTTAGAGATAAATACTGATGACAGCTTTGATGAAATAGTGGACAAAGATGAACTATATAAACACCTTATGGAACAAGTAATCTTTATTTATTTTTTGTTATAATAAGACTATTTCTTTACTTTGTTTGTGTAACCAATAAAGAGAAGAGCAATTAAATAAATTATTTAAACAGAGCCATGGCTAAACACTGGCTACCAATAATGTTTCAATATTGCTGTATAAAATAAAAATTGTAGTTTCGTTTCACAGGGGCAAGAAAATTTAGGTATGGTAATGGTATTCACGTTAGTATCAGCAGGTCAAGAATGGCTTAATGTGAAGTGGGATAGTATAAAAAAAGAAAAAGAAGAACAAATATTAGCTAAAAAGCAAGCAGAAGAAGAAGCAGAAATGGTTAGACAAATAAATATATTTTTATAATAAAGTGACAGTTACATTGAATATAACATGAAAAAGGATATACAATAATTAAAGTTTATTAATTTTATTATCAATAAAGTTTTATAATAAATTATGTTCAAGATATCTATTTTCTTTTTAGAAAAGGTTTGAAGGTACGAGAGTGACAGTGGAATCATTCTTAGCATGGAGAAAGCAATTTGAGTTAGATATGGGTATTCCTGCAAAGAGAGAAAAGGAAGGAAAAGATAAAAATAAATTAACAGGCAAAGAATTGTTCTTGAGAGATACTACTCTGAATGAATCTGATCTCAAATTCCTTGATGATGGTTAGTGGATATAAAAAGCTTATCTATGCATATAATGAAAGTGTAACTGATTGAGTGAGAAAAGTGGAACTCACTGTACATGGAAGATATTTAAGAAAAAAATATTTATTAACACAATAGAATCCAAAGCAGTGATTTTTAGACTTTTGTCTGTTTGTCAGTTAGTCTGTGCATTTGTGCACACTAATCTCAGAAATGACTTAACCGATTTGGGGCCGGTTTTCACTATTGTATCATAGTGAACTTGACATTTGTTATATTATTTGTATTTATTGTATTTGTATTTATTATAGTATTTTAGTTATTTATATATGTTAATTAAATATAAAATTAGGAAGTAGGTTTAAAGTTATTTTTTTATGTTTTTAGAGGTAGGGTGACATGATTTTTAAAAACATTCCTTCATTAAAAGGCTTTTTTATGTATAATTCTGTAATATTTCAATAAACTATGTCTATATTAGACTATGTTAAAATAGGCTGATAGAGAAAACTTAACATTTTATAAATAATTATAACAGTATTACAGCTTTTACCTATTTTATTAGAGTGTTACATGAAAATTATATAAAAATTTCAGGAGATGCGGTTAAAGTAGATGAATCACTATTCCAAGACCTAGATGACTTGGAACTTTCTGATGATGATGAAGATGATGAAGACTATGTCCCTGGACAGAGCAGTGATACTGAATAACGAACAGTTATGCGCTTAAACTAGCGCTATTACATATGGCCTTAATGTCTCCCAGTCAGTTATGCTTTGTTGACAAATATAACTCAATTTTATATACATATTTGCATCTTTTAAAACCCAAACAACAAGAAAAAAGACACTAAGTAGTGTGAAGGCAATGTTTTATGAAAAACATAAAAAATATTTTAACAATGGGCCAAAACCATATACAACAATATTATGGAATATAGCTAAATCAAAATGCAGAAAAAAAATTGATCAAACTTAGTGAGAAAGTAGATACTTTTCGTGATTTTATTATAAAGTTGTAATAAATTACACTGATCATCAAGTTTAATTAGTTTTAAAAGTTAATTTTAAGTCAATAATGTAATTTTCACCAACTTCAAAGAAAGAGATTCGGATGTACATATCTTTGTGATATACCTTTTGAGAATCCATATAAGTGTAAAGAAAAAATTCACCCATAAGGGAAAATAATTACTTTTAGGCAATAGTTACGTGAAAGCAATAAATAGTTACATGGTCATAATATATTTATATAGCTTATAGTATAGTAAGTAGTGTAAATATAAGTCATATATACACATTAATGACGAATCACTGATGCCACGAAAAATGTATGTAGAAAACCATAGCTTTTATTAAAGTTCCTTAAGTTCAAATAATTAATGAAGCTCGCGCATACTAACGGTCAGGACCTTTAAACGTGCTGTCAGTCTCCTTAATCTGTGGCCCTGTCGACGCGCGCTGCTCGTGCGTTTTTATTGATACTTTATAGGGTAGAGAACAACATATCTTTGTGATCAAAAAGTGTCTTTCAAAAAGCGTTAATCAGGGTGGCGCTACTGTTGCAAGTTGGAAAATTTAAAAAAAAGCCCCAAACGGATTAGAGTAGGATTACATTATCCCACAGCAGTTTATTAGGTTATATTTAGTAACTTATTTTAGACTAAGTAAATATGAGGTGCAATTTTGTATATTTCAGTTTCATTAACTACTTTAGTTACCTAAAAATATTATATTTTTCGACTCGGCTCACTTCCTCTACAACTGCTAAAGTTGTATTATACTCCTTAAGCTAGTGCCATTCTGATGGGGTTTTGAACTGTCATTTACCGCAGTGCTACAAGAATCATTTGGCGCTTAGGTGACAGTTACAGATACTGACCTGAGGGCGTCCACAACAAATATTACTCCAACTTCTCTCAAAAGTGACGCTTTACAAGATGGCGGTGTTAGTTCCAATTTTGGCCACGTGTCAAATTATCCTTGTAAAATTGACTGTACAGGCGGACACTTTTATCTTGTCTTCCACGTAAGATCGTTCTCCTTACTTGATAGGAACCTTAGCACCTTAGCATCTTTTTCATTTGTTAGCGGAGAATATGTGCAGACGTACGTTCGAATATACGCGTCGTTTTTGCGTTTATAAAACTTGGTGTATATAGACCCTAAATAATTATTTATTAAAAGACATCCATCTTCATCATTTAGGGGTAATTTTAGAAGCCGTATCATTTTCGTAGTCGAATGACTTGTAAATATTAATATTTTCTCCTCAATGCAAATATTCTGTCCATGCGAAAATCGGGCCCGCGACTGGACACTTGTTCTATTGCGCTACGAAGGGGTTTTATTTTTATATGAATACTTAAAGCCAAAAAACATTCCTCTGGTTAAATAAGTTGTTAATTAATAATTGTATATGATAAAAATTAAAAAGTATGTATAATAAAAAACATCTAGTTGATTTGTTTTAAATTTAACCAATAAATGCCCAATAATTTATAAATATTTCTTTGGAATGCAGTCTTAAGCTTACAATTAATTTATAAATAAAAATTTACAATAAATAGAGATAAAAGCGAAAATATCAATACAATTTCGTTGTAAGCTTTCACCACAATCGATACAATGATAAATGGTGGTATGCCTTACAATACCCGTATTTGTTTTAACTAAACCGAAACACACTCCGCACTCGTGTAGTAAAAACCATTTATATAGCGCAAGAATCAAACCCCTAAACCCTAGCAGTCAATGCGGTGACGCTAAAATTTCATGCCTATAATCATGCCTCAAAGTAGTAATTATGCTTTTGAATGGACGTATGATAATTTATATGTTTATAAGTTATTTTCATAGAGTAGGTATAGAAACACGTAAGTTAAAAAATGGTGCAACCTTTATTTTATCACTTTAATATTGTTTATAATAAAACACATTGTTTTAATTCTGAGAATAGTTTTATTTACAGATTTTTCCATAGGTATATACAACCAATAGATTAATAAAAAAAGCGTTTGGATTCCTAACAAATACGAAATCCAAGTCCTTAAACAAAAGCAACATTTGAGCAAACAAAACAAATCACTAGCTTTGACATCACATTTATTCGCTAACACTGAAAATATTATAATTATTTAATTTATAAAATTAATATATTTAAATAAGTGCTTAATACATAACTACAATTTAACATGTATATTTACACCGAGTGCAGTCTTGAAACCAATGAGCAAAAGGAAAAAAATTAAAATATTTTTATCCTGAAGAATTGCAGTGGAGGACTATTAGCAGCTTAATTATCAGTACCTGGGCTACCGAGGTTCGCTCGTAGTTTTTGGCCTGAAGTACAATTTTCTTTTTTTTTAAACTAAAAACTTGAATAAATATTTAAAAAAAAAAACAAAAGTAAAAACTTTGTATGAGACCGAGATTCGAACCTGGACGCCTGTGAATGTTGATCTTGCACCTTGGCCGCTTGACCGCGATGCTTATGCCCGAGCGTGCAAATTACCGACCATATTTTGCGTGGATTAATGTAAAAGAAAACTGCATGAAAACTCGAAAACACACGTTTTCTCAGACATAAAACTAATCTAGATCGATTTATCGCCGCCGAAACCCCCTGTGTACTAAGTTTCATGAAAATCGTTGGAGCCGTTTCCGAGATTCAGATTATATATTTATATATATACAAATATATAATCTGAATAAGAATTGCTCGTTTAAAGATATAAGATATTGTCAAAGCCACGAATGGTAAAACACAATGGATAACCCCAATGAGGCAAATGAGATTTACGTTTTAAATACGTGTAGATCTTATTGTATTTTAACTTGCATGTACCTATTCAAGCTACAAGCTGTTCATTTGGAGTAGACAGTAGAAACACAATAATTTTGTTTTCTTATAATTCACAGTGATAAATGTTTATATCAACATTGGCTCGGTGCGTAATCGGATCCACATCTATTTGCGTATTTTGCAATGCTAAATGTATAAATGAATATGTTTATTAGACGTTTTAATAAAAAAATATTTTTTATACTAATTATAGAATAATAAATGATGATTATGTTTACGATGTCATTACAATCATAGTAAGGACTTTTAAATTAAGTTATCCGTTTTTAATGACTATCAAGACTCTTAAAGGCAAAGAAATTTTGTAAAAATCTACCTTAACAGTTAACCACAGATAATATGTATAATTTAGAACACAATCAAATGTAATTTTGTGTGGCGTGGTTCAACTGCTAACATTAGATAATTTAAATAAACTACCACATCATACCTGTTGACCCACATTTTTCTTTAAAATATATCCATAAAACATTAAACGAAGCCTTCTCATTATTCAGCTTTATATCCGAATAGGTACTTTTAATGATTACAATTTACATTCCCATGGACACGCGAGGAAGAAATCTCTGAAATACTGTATACTGACTCATTATACAACAACACAAACGTACACATTGCAATTCCCCAAAAGTACTTAACTTTTAAACGAGTTAAAATAGAAATCAGACAATCCACTTTTAACATTAATTATATACTATTAATAATAATGAATAATATTATGTAATCATTTCCATCTCCACATATGTGTATTACTAGCATTGCCCGCGGCTCCGCAGATGACCGAAAACCAAATTCTTAGGTTTTACATATTAGTATACTCTTACAATGCAGTTTTTGTATTTTTTCTCAGAAATGAGATATTTTTCCGCGGTAAAAAGTATCCTATATGTTGATCCGGATAACCAGCTATCATCATACCAAATTTCATCAAAATCTGTCCAGTGGTTTTCTCGTGACAAAATTCTAAAAACTATAGATTCGGACTCTGTATCGATAATAATGTCTATTTCAATTAGATTTTCCAAAAAATATTTAATGTACAGATTCGACTTAGTTACAATTTTATTATATGTATAGATTATAATTTATTTCCATACACCTAACGTTCTATAGGCCAGCCGCCAGTGTATAAAGAAAAAGTATAACTACGACTTAAAATACAAAAAATATAAACGGTGTATAAAAAAACAATACAATCAGTGCAGTAACATGTATAATGAAAATTATACCTTCTTTTTTATATGATATTTAAATACAACAATAATCAATATTTCAATATATTTTATTAAGAAAGGGAAGGCCACAAAAAAGTAACAACATTAAAATGTCATTAAGTAACATTATAATCTAACTATTTTATAATTAACTTTATTGTTTGTTTTATGTACTTAAAAATGAATTTGCTTTCCTTTTCTAAATGAAAATATTTATGTATCTAAGAATCTTCATTATGTTCACTGAAAACACAAAGACCATAAACACTCTCAGATGATGGTCCCAATGACGTCAAATTATATTTTTTTAACAATTTCGCATTGAGACATTTATATTTTAACTAAGCTATCTACGCTCGTGTAAAAATATCTGGTAAAGTGAATTATTTTACTCTTAAATTTCTATTGCGAAACAAGTTTTAGCGATATAACATTATCGTGAACTATTTACACACTATATTGATGATGTTTACGACACCATACATTTCACTACAGACATTGCTATCTACCGGGGAATACTTTACAATCAGTACTGTCTGATATAAAATTAAAATATTTTAAATAATGTTATGTTTAACACCTGGGTCTACATTTATTAGGATTTAATTGAATTGGAACCGGCACATTCTCAAGACCTTTCTTTGTTATCCTTACACCAGAATATTCTAACAAATAATAGAATTCTAAAATGAAAAATAAAAATAGGATTGATTAAACTTCACAAATTGTAGTCCGTTCTATTGTCCACTCCTACAGCCGCGATGATATTATATATTTTAATTTACGCACCACAACGGTTATAGAAACCGTAGGATCGTAGCCGCTTGCTGTAAGTGACGGCGAGTGCTCATTTGAGTCTTTGCGTCACGTTCGCGAGCGCGACGGCGAAGGCCTGCAGAGCTGAGAATGGGTACTGGAAGTCTAGCGTGTAAGCGTTGCCGTCGATTCGCCCGAACTGCATTACCTGCAAATGTATTATCTAATCTTATCATTCACTCCAAAGAGACCCTGCATTTCCATGCTTTCTATTAGCAAAGGAAATTGTAGAATATCATCTTATCTAAGAATAAGTTCTGGAGTCTGAGAAATGTTTCTTTTTGTAACGTAACGGTAAAGAGAAAAGGTAATCTCGTTTTTGTCATCATATCATATACAAGAATAAAAATCCATTTCGCACCAATTTTATTGTTATAATTTCTCAAGGTAGGTAGGTAGGCTAAATACAAATAATTCGTTGATGCCTGTAACGTAGGTGCTTGTTTGAGTTAAAGTGCACTTTTGAGAATACTAGATAGGAAAAACGATAGGGTCGTCATTAGGAGATTGTAAATTTAGTTTTTTTTTTGGTGGTTTTTTATATCACCGTATTATATAAAAACAGACCTGCTTGCCGTGATATTCAATCTGGAAATTCTTAGCAGATTCCTGAGTGACTCGTCCGCCGAAGTCCAGTTGATAGACCTGGCTGTTCTCGTTCCACATCGGCGCTTTGTTGTGCATTACGAGTTGGCGACGGGTACTGCGGTTTTCAGGCGCATTTGATGATGTTGCAGTGTTTAAGCTACCCCCAGCGCGTTTAATCTGTAAAATTTTGTTTGCAATTGCTAAATAACTTATTGAATTATACAATAAGTAAAAAATCTATATTATCTATATATATAAAAATGAATCCCTATTTTCCTTGATCACGCGTGAACGGCTGGACCGAATTAACTATTTTTTTTTTGTTGTGTTTATTATTGTCAGGAGAAGGTTCTTATGAAAGAAAAAATTTAAAAATTGCGCGGAAAATTATAAAATTTAAGAATACTTATTTAAGAATACTTAAGAACCATATTAAAATGTATATGGCTAACGCTGGGTAATAACTATTTATATATATTTAAAACGTACCTAGTACCGCTAGTAGTATATAAAAATGAACTCCTATTTCTCCTGGTCACGCTATAACTTGAGAATGGCTTCACCGATTTTATTTATCTTGTTTTTAAATGATTTCTAATACTTCGTAGAAGAATCTTACATTAAAAAAATAAAAAAATTGCTCAGAAACTTAGAAAACTTAAGAACAATGGGGATGAAATTTTGTATGGGGAATCAACCTAGGGACAAACCCGAGCGAAGCGTGGTTGAGTCGCTAGTATAATATGTTTTAAAAAAAATAATTTAATTTTTAAAGAAGAATTTGAAAGGCGTAAGTGATTAAAAGTTATCATGCAAATATATCAATGAAGATTCTTGTACCTTATTTCTAAGTTGAGCTTTTTGAAAACTTTCAAGATCCCTGTAATTTTTGCTGTTAACTTCATTATATCCATTCGAATATTCATCATCAGAACTCTCAGACAGCTTTTTGTTCCTTCTCCGATTTAATAGAGGCGAATTTAACAATTGTCTGAAAATTTAAATATAAAATTTAACTATTTTTATTGTAACACAATACTTGAAGTATTATTTCATATTAACATATAACAAAAAATGTTATAAATAATACTGGCTGAACTCGTAAGTATGTTGAATATGTTAGCCGTAAACCAAATACCCGACAGGTGTAAGGCCGGATCAGTCAGTCGTTCGGTATCTGACCGAATATTGCGTTACTATCCAGTGTTTGGACGGATAAAAAATAAAGCCGAAAAGGCTGGATATTCATTTCATCTCTAGGGACATCCCATGCGTAAACTTCTTATAACCATAAATATTTTTTGATAAAAGTAGTAGTAGTATGTAACGTACGAGTACTACTATAGTATTATATGTTCTGTGGTACAAATATGTGTATATGACAAAAAGCTTTATCTAATGGGCGAGGGAGACGAGTATAAGCATTATGAATAAAAGTAACACTATGTGTAGCAGTGGCGAATTGTCCATACAAGACGTCTTACCTTAAAATTATTTTGCTATAATTTTACATACATTTAATTTTTTAAATGTATAAATGTTCTTTTGGAAATATATATGTATATACTAATGCTTTATTTCTTTTTGCATTAACATCTTCAGGTAAATTTCTAAGAAATAAATTAAAATTCTAAGAAATCGATTGTTAACTGATACGTTGGCGTGTCCGCGGTCGTGGAGGGATTAATACGTATATAAAAATCATTTATTTTTGGAACGGCTTACCTCTGCTAAAATTTCACCCTTCGCCGTGTAGGTATGTATATATGAAAAAGCTTTACCTAATAGGCGAGGCAGAGGAGTACCGCTGCCGGCGCGAGGCGCGCGGCGCGGGCGAGCCGGGCGCGGGCGCGGACGAGCGCGCCGGCCGCGGCGACGCCGGCGCGGAGCTGCTCTCGCGCGCCGCGCCGCCGCCCGCCGCGCCTTCGCCGCCGCCCGCGCCGAACGCAGTCTTCTTCGACGAACGGGATGCCAGTAATCGTAAGGCCAATTGCTCCAATGAACCTGGTAATTGTGGAAATATTCATATGATAATAAGGTTTCATTTGATAGTTCTGCTACTTTTTATTAATGTTCTGGTGCAATATTACCTACTTAAGTTTTATAGCTAACTAGTGAAAAGTAATTTTTAGCCTTTAATGGCTTTCAAAAACGTTATAAAATTCACAAATTTAATGTAAGCAGTTCTATACTCCCAAAAATGACTGATGTGTGCTAAACTCGATATACTCTGAGATCCTCATTTAGAGAAATGCTCTAGGTGTGTGAAGCTTTATTTTATCTACGTCACGTGTGTCTTCGTAACTTAATAACGGCTAGTCCGCAAAGCCACATGCGTGTTTGCGAAGCTCAGTGCTGTAGTCTAATTTGACTAGCTGCGGAATCGCAACCGCATTTATCTCACCGTTGAAGTATTGGGGGGGCGGGTGAGAAAAAGCATCTACTACTAACTATAATACTTGCTGTAGTCGGAATCGCTGTCGGTCACAGGCGCGGGAGGGGCGCGGGGCGTGGGGGACGCGCACGCCAGGCACACCGCGCACACGTATGCAGCATCAGTTTCTCGACGCTCACAGGGCACTATTAGCCTACACGTTGAACATACGGGGTGATCCCGTCTGGGCCTTCGGCCTCGCCCTTCCTCTGTACTATTTCCGCTATTATCATCACCTGTGCTGTTACAACGACTGCTCGAATATGCATCATTATCCTGCTTCTCGTTGAGTTCCGCTTTAGTCTGTCTCTTACCCTTTTCCGCAGTTATGGACAATTCTCCTGAATCTAAACTTTTCGATTTGCCGCACTTTCTTAAGCTTGGAGTTTTAAAGTTATCCAACTGTTTAATGTCATTACTCTTAAAATAACGCTTTGGACGTCGCTGTCTCTTGTTATTGACTAATATAAGACGTCGAGGTGTTTCTCCGCGCAGAGCAGATAAACTAACTTGTGCGTGTAAAACTTGTGGATCAACGAGATCCAAATACCCAACGCTGCAACTCCGTGTCATTGTGTCATACACCGGTATATTCGCGCACACGGGGCTTATAGGAACCACTGTAGTTGTTCTCTGTACTCTCCCCTCACGAACTTTGTCTGTTAAATTACTTATATTTGTATCCACCGGAGTCTCCTCGTCAATATATTTGAGATCTTCGCTTTTCTGTAAATTTTTTAACGTCTCGCCGCGTTTGTTCATAGCATCTGGATGCACTTCATGCTCATAATTTTTATTACATAACGATTTTAGTATCCTCGTATTCATCTCAAAAGAGGATTCACCTCGGCTACAAATATTTTTTCGCAATTTAGAAAGACAGTTATCGGAAACGTGATTATCGCATTTTTTAATAGTAACTTGTCTGCTAGGCTCTAAACTAAGATTTAAACTGAACTGTTGATCAATATTGGACAGATTTCCTTTTAATGATACATTATCTCTTACACTATAATCAGTCCGGCCGCCACAAAAATCTCCTCTTCCACCACACGTGACCGTCTGCGGCGACGGTCTCTCAAATATGATATCCGTAGGGGCTACGGCATTCTTTGGAGACTGTAGAGTAGGAACAGAGCTTTCACATCTTAATGGAGATATTGCATGTCGATTTGACACAGCAGCTGTATTGCTAACACGCCTTTCGGAATTTTGTGTCGGATGCCGTATAGAGTTTGCGTTATAAACATTTTCTGACATATTGTTCATATCACTGGTGTCAATATATGGAAACTCATCGTAAGATTCTGCTCTCGCTAATGCTGGATTAGAATTATTATTTGGTGAATATATTTCGGAACTATTTATTATATTATTCGTATTGGTCATTCTGTCGGTCGCGATGGCTGGATTAAATTTTTTTCTTATATTATTGTTCATATGTGATGGAGAATCAGCTTCACTAGGTTGGAATACTTCTTCCTCGTCTTCGGAAAAGATGTTTGGATTAAAATTAGGATCTGGACCGACTGGATAATCGTCTCGGAGCTCTGTGATCGTCAGAGTCATTTGTCGCGGTTGAAGATGTAATAAAGAAGTTTTGTAAGTCACTTGTCCAAGATTCGCTGGTACGTTTTTCGCCAATCCGTGCATTTTGAACTTTGTTCCCCAAATATTAGATGTGACTTCAACTAATCGCACATCCTGAAAACAAATAAAATTATGTAAGTTTTATATTTTAAAGGTATGATTATGATACATTTATCTTTTAAAAAAGATTAGTACCTCCGGCAACGAATCTATATAAGCTAGCTCATCAGGAGTTTCATCTTTGTCAGTAGAGTTACGTGTTTTTCGTCTTTCACGAGCTCGCCTACGTCTTTGTAATCTTGGAGATCCCGAACATCCTATAAAATTGCATATTTATAAAAGAAGTTATTTTATGATACGGTAAAAATTGAAATTCAAATGATGATGACTTTGATATTAAACACACCTTCCTCTCTTTCGGTGTCAGAAGAGCACGAGTCGTCGTGAGGCGGCGGCTGGCGCGGCGGCGGGCGCGGCGGGCGGCGCGGCGCGCGCGGCGTGCGCGGCGGCCGCGGGGACGAGATGCCGCCGCCCACGCTGCCGCCGCTGCCGCTGCTGGAGGTGCTCCCCGCCCCGCTGCTGCTGCTGCTGGACTCTCTTACTATGCTCGTGACTCCTTCTGCAATACAATCTATACAGATAAAGAAAATTGAAGTGTCTATTTGTAATGTCAAAATAACAGCGTTTTACTAAATGCATATGAAATTATATACGGTACTAATAAGGAAAGGTCATTTTTTTTTAATTTGTCTGTGTGCCTGTCTGTTTGTTCCGGATGATCTCTGAAACGGCTGGACTGATTTTGACGGGATTTTCGCTGGAAGATAGCTGATGTTATAGGGAGTAACATAGGTTACTTTTATTTTAGAAAAAGAATTAGGGTTCCGTTCAAAAAAATGAAAACGTACGTTAATATGACTGGTATTTATCGGACTATCATTATGAATGCGATGATTTATATGTATGTATGTTTATTCCTTTACGCGGATTTTCGCGTAACGGAACTATTTAGTTAGAAGAGCTTAGATATAACTAATACAGAGGTTATATTTGGAATGACACATAGGCTAGATCGTCCGAGTGCCAAGTCAAGTCGTCATCAAAGTCAGAGTAAATCGCCAGGTTATCCTCTTAAATATGTCCTCCAAAATTATGCATACTCACCAAATTATGTTTGAGTGTGTTTTCTGAAAAATATTTTGAAAAGAAAAAGCCATATAAAGATTATAAGTACCTTCTGCTTGTGGATCAAAAATGACAAATTCTGGTCTTATTTTGCTGGTTCTCCGTCCTTTAAGCAAAGGCACTAATCCACCGAGATGTTCTAAGTACAATGTGTAGGCTCCCGCTTCCTCGTCGTCGTGTCGCAACATAGTACAATGGAGTCGGCCCCCAGCGGCTGGCGGACGCGACACAAAACGTCGCAGTTCGTTTGCTTCTGGGACATTACACTGAAAAAGATATGAGTGTACATATATACATAATATGTTATTATGTATATTAATAGCGTCATAGGAGCATACGAAAAGTTATCTTATTTATTATGCTTTAAGTTTTGAGAACAGAGCTCTTGAATTACAAAAGTTGAGAATGAATTTGATGAAATTATAATAAAATATATTTATGACGTAAGTCAATTTTGAATTCCTTTTTATTTATTCTCTTTATTTATTCTGAAACTTAGTTGTAGCGATATACAATGACACTTTATCTATCTTATACGAATAAAACATTCAGATAGGTAAGCAATTTTCAGTGTTTAAGCTTTTATGGAAAAACACAACAATTTATCGTAAGCCATTTTGGTAAGTTGCCAGCGAGGCGGTAACAGTAACTTGGCAGCTGGTTTAGTTTTAAATTAGCTTTGTTTTACACCCTACTTCTAACGTGGGGTAACTGCTACACGACTTTGTAACAATATTTGTAGTAGGTATACTCAATTCTTAGTAAAACTACGTTATATATTTTTTTAATATAAATCTATACCTACTTATAATGAAATTGTAACTAAGCCGAATCAGTACAATAAATATTTTTTGGAAAATCTTATTGAAATAGACATTATTATCCATACAGATGCCGAATTTATAGTTTTTAGAATTTTTGTCTGTCTGTCTGTCTGTTACCGCATCACAGTAAAACCACTTCAGGGATTTTGATGAAATTTGATATGGTGATAGCTGGTTATCCGGGTCAACATATAAGATACTTTTTACCGCGGGAAAATATCTCATTTCTGAAAAAAAATACAAAAACTGTATTGTAAGACTATACTAATATGTAAAACCTAAGAATTTGGTTTTTGGTTAGCATGATGACCAAAAACCCGCGGGCAATGCTAGTAACTTAATAAAATAATTTAGTCATATCATACTTACCGGATACATTAATCTAGAAATCTCAAATCACATTCTATGACCCAATATTAGGGAAACGCGACACTTTAGAAACCATCTCTGCTATCTTGGAAAAAGATGTGTGCGATGCCATTTAAAAAAAAACAAAATAGAAGAAGGTGACTAATGCCAGAATTCATGGAAAAATATGGAAAAAAACATTTATCAACAATCATACCCGTATAGTATGTGCGAAGAGGCTCGCTAAAGCCGGTTGTAAGCGAGGTGGTAGAGGTAATTTTGCGGCTAGTCTGGGATGTCTCAGGGCTGCAGCCGCTCGCACTCGCGCCAGGAGTTGCAGAGGAGCGACCACTCGCCACACTCGCGCTGTGCACACGGCACCGCCCGCGCCCACGAAGAGACGGCGAGCTGCGTGACCCCATGTTAACGCAGTCACACGAGCCTATACAAAAGTAGATTTAAAGTGCTTTAAATATGTGAATGAAAAGAGAAATTGCGAAAATGTTAATGTAAGCTTTTATAGTGTAGTAATGCAAGAAATAATTTTCATAAATAGTAAAAATACAGGCTTTTTGTTTAAAATTTGCAATTTAATTATCGATTCATATCTTGTAATCCTTATGTTGACATTATTATTTAGATAAATAATTTATTAACAGCTTCAATTATTTTCTGGTCGTGTAATCTTCTTTGGTTGTTTTATTATTAATATTACTTCATTCGTTATTTTTGGGTTAGGGTCAACAAATTTAATATAATATACAGAACAAGGCAGTGGTAACGCACTCCCCGGGGGAGAAGCCAACTCCTACCGGGCGCGTCCCCAGGTGGCGGATAGGGTAATGCCACCCGCTTAGGGCGGCGGGTGGTACCGGAGAAATCCGGCGCGGACCAAATGGCTTGGATGGGGCCGCTCGTCTAGGCCTCGAGCCGAAGACGTTGCGGCCACCGGTGGTGGGACCGCTTGGTCCCACAACCGGATGATGGGTGCCGGTTGCGGGACTGTGGTCGCAGGCCCGCATCCGGCGGAGGGGTAGGCCGCGGCGGGAGAGGAGTGCCGGTATTTCGGTGCGCCGTTCTCCCTACCTTCCGCGGCCTAGACGGGGCCGCCACCGTTCGATGGCGGACGCGGTGGGGCTGCAGGGGAAGAGGAGTGTCGGTGTTTCGTTGCCGCTCTCCCTGTCCTCTGCAGCCGATTGGAGGTGGCCCACTTCGGTGGGCGGAGGTTCGGTTTTATGGAGCTGCTCCGGGTACCTCTCTGGTGTAGCAAAATTGACTGTGGAGCAGCCCCATCGGTGTGGTGGTCAGCCGTTGGCAGACCTGCCGCCGGGGCGCCGTAGTAGTTGTGCGCAAGCGATCCTGCGGCGTCCCATTAAGGCGGAGGGGAGGGGAATGTCGGGTTTTAGTGGGTAGTACCGGCTCTTCTAGCCGGTGAGCCCCACATCACCACCTGGGGGATCAGGTGGTATGCGTAAATGCATTTCCCGACATAAAAAAAAAAAAAAAAAAGTGGTAACGCACTCGTATGGGAAGCAAAGTGACGCGGGTTAGGACCCCCGGTTTTGTAACTATGATATTTTCATGGGCGAATGTTTCCGACATGATTACCGCTTGTATTACGGTGAAAGAAAACATCGTGAAAACACCTGCATGTTTGAGTGATCCTAGCAAGTTTTCAAAAATACGTAAAATCTGCCAACCCGCACATGGCCAGCTTGATGGCCTATGACCTGATAGCCACAGATTGCTGTCCCGCCCATTGGGGCGTTAAAATATGGCTAAATGTACACACAAAATATATAAAACTAAAATATTAAAGTATTTTAAAAGTATGAACTTACATAATCGATAATACCTTATTTTTCATTTATATTATTACTTAGTTTTAAAGGGGAAGTGATATCTCAAAGTTAGCAAAGCATATTATTAAAAAGTTAACGATACAAAAATGTTAATGGAGAACTTAATTCTTTATAATTGCAATTTATAACACTGGCACTTTTAAACATAAACCTACTTTTCTTGTAAAAAACTATTCTTGGCTTCTGTAATAAAAGATGAATATACTTACTTGGGTATACGGAATGGGGACGGTGTAAATAAGTGCGCCGGTGTCCGAATAAAACTTTACGACGTTTTTATACGGCGGTGCGTCCTCCGGTTCATTTGGCTCTATAAATTATAACAAAAGATAAAGCTGTGAAAGTAAAATACAAAAGCTTTTTGTCATATTTTTTACAAAACAATGTTCACTAAACAAGTATCGTCAAACGTAAATTGTTTTTGTATTTCCTTTATTTTATTTGTACACAATATAATTTTCTTTACAATTCTTTATAATAATTCTAATGTAATTATAAAAAATCAGTTCATTTCACAATACTGCACTTCATTCTATGCTAATTTTTCGCGTAAACCTATCAGATGTCAACGTATGTACGAGTACATAAATGTACGACTAAATCCATATTGTCAAGAATCTAGACTCTAGATACTTGTAAAAAGAATATAATAAAAATATGAAAGTACTTGTTACATAATATGTTTCATGACAAGTTTTAAAGTGGAACGATACGGTCGAGTGTGGGAGTTCCATTATATTATCCTTGTTACATTTGCTTTGCGTAAAAAGTATCCTCCTCTAGGCTCCACTTTAGTCTGGTGGAAATTGTGATTCTGAGCGCGGCTTAATGACGCTATTCATATACCTAGTCGCATAGAACAGTTAAACTTTGATGGAAGAAAACTTAAGTTGTTGCTTATATTTTGTATGCAATTCGTTATATATTGGAGAGCAAATACTTCAATAAGTCTATAGATTATATGAATATATTGTACTGTGAGAACTTGTCTTTTATCTTGTGAATATTTATTCAAAAAGCACTTTGAAAGTTGCTTATTTAAACCGTCTGTCTTTTGAGAAAACATTTTATATATTTTATATATCTACGAGTAATAACAGCAAGTGTTTTGAGAAAACTAGATGCAGGTGGCTATCAGCTTCATAAATAATTCTTTTTTTTACTCAATTAAAGTTTACAATTTGTGAGGTAATCTTATTCATTGGCTATGCTAATAAACCGGGGGAAGAAATAAGTAAAAGAAATATGATTTATTACAGAAAAAATTAAATACTGGAAACTTGACAAATACTTTTGTAGTTGTTATTCTAATTACACACAGTCACCGGACTCCCTTCTTATAGATATGTTTGTAAATTATAATTCAATGATTAATAGCAACGATGAACGACGAAGTAAATAAACGTTTATCCATTCCAGAAGGTGCTTTTGTTTGATGATTGTGATAGTTAAGATCTCTCAAACTGTGAGATGAGCTTTTCTGTATAGCAAATAAGCTTTCGTCACGTAAAATTAGCATCATTAAAAGTAGAGACCTTATCTCAGTAGAGCAATAGACACGTGAAACATAAAACTTAATTCGGTAGTATTACGTAAGTAAGAACATTAAATGTTAGATCACAAAACCTCAAGTCATAAATATTAAGTTTATCGTATAAAGTATAAACCTCAAATAAATACGAGCTTCGGCCATTTATCAGAATGAAAAATACGATACGCGTCTGCAAAGAAAACTTCACACAATATGGTGTCTACTTTACCAAATTGCTACGACACCGACACATTATGTATACCTATGTAAATGGAACACATCCGAATGAGCCACATACAATTATTTTACAAACCTGGATTTTTTTAATAAAAGCGTATTTAGTAGATAATTAATTAAGTATCACCTACATACATTTTAAGTTCAACTGAAAAAGTATGTAGGTAAAAAATATATATATTCTAAAATACATGAGTATGAAACGAAGTTGTAAGCGAGTTTCTGTAAGCAGGTGTGCGCGTTAATCTTGAGTATTACTGAACGATTTTGGATGCGGTTTTTACTGTTTTGATCTGATAATTTCTCCAGGAAAGTTAGAATGTTAAATATTTTACTAAACTAGCGGTTTCCCACGGTACGCGGCGTAATTCAATTAAAAATTACACTTTAACAATTATAGCTCATGTGCTATTCTGATGTATAATATAATAACTGTAAAGTTTCATTTAAATCCGTTCAGTTGTTTCTGCATGCAAGAGTAACAAACATCCATCCATCCTCACAAACTTTCCCCTTTTTAATATTAGAAGGATAGTATCATACCAGCGATTAAGGTCCCAGCGACAGCAAGAAGTTCTCTTGAATTAGCCCATTCCATCGCCAGAGTGTTGCCCCTCAGGCCAGTGTGTACTCGTACAGGGCTCACGTCGTCGTGTCCACGCAGAAGCACAATCTCTCCGTTGCCCAGGGCGACCGCTAAAACGTGACCGCCGTTAGTCTCACCGTTCTCCTCTCCCTCCTCCATTTTGAACTTCTCGCAAGACCACGCCATTGATGTTATCCCACCCTCTGCCACCAGTTGCACCTATTTGGATTTAAATTATAAACTGCTTTATGTTTCTCTAGAAATACTATGCCTATTAAACTATTTATTCTGTATACTATCTCTGTTATTTATAAAATGTTGTTTTTATAAACAAACAATTTTATGATTTTAAATTTAAACAAATATTTGTAAATTATCGTAATCAACTAAATTCTCATGTTATTTTAGAAACAAGCAAAAAAATACAATTATTTAATAATAATTTTTCGCATGTATAGCATATTCGCATGCTGACTTTAATTGGTATTGCCTACTAAAATTAATCAATTTAGTGAGTGTGGAAAGTGGTAACTAATCCGAATTTGGCATAGTGGTTGTACTGAGTGTGTGAGAGGAAGTTGGCAGTGATTCAAAACCAATCTGCCGAGAGTTTAAACTTATTTCAAGCCAGGTGAGCCGTGAGGTTTAAAATGTTTTAGTATGTAAATAGGGTTGTATCCACAAAAAATAAATTGAATAGATGACAGTTTTTATTGATTAATCATGACTAAGTGATCACAAAAAACAAAATTACCTATATAATAAAAAAATATACCTATAAATATATGGAGTATGGACCAATATATGAAGTTAAGGAGTGTTATTATGTATTAATTCTTTATTAATATAGTCAGTCTTTTTCGCACAAAGTTTTGACTGGTGAGCAAGTAGGTTTACAGATGCAAATTTAGTAGATTTATGTATATACCTACATAGTATATTAAAATTCCGCTCCTGTATTATATTCATATAATATGTCAATTTTTTACTATGTTGAAATAACAAGTAATTCATTGGGTTGCGTAACAGTCGAAAATTAATCTTTATAATTATAGATTTGTTAAATAAGTATTAGGTAAGAAGGATTGTTTCTCATTCATCATTTTAAAAGGTAGGTAACTATTGAAATTTACATATCCTATGTGGTGTAAATGAAATATTAGTTTTTTGTTCTGTGCATGTGAAAACACTACCAAAAAGCGTTTGTTAGTTGACACGTCTCACCCCTCGAAGATCTGTAACCTCTTAAACACGTTCCTGCAGCGATTTCTACTATTATAAGAGTTCTCACGTCAGTGGAAAACGTTTTGTTTATTTGCTTTAGATACTGAGTCTATCGTCTATGCTCTACAAAGATTTTTTCAGAATCAAACCTATACATATTTTGTCTAAGCGCGTTGTTTTGAAATCTATTTTAATTATAGTGTTCACCTTATTTAAGGATAACGTAGCCTTATATATAGTAATGTTTATAATAAAAATGTTTAGAAATAATATTGCAAATGATTACACTCATGGGTAATATTTAAGTAGCGAGAATATAAATATTGGAAAGTAATATCAAATCCAGCTCTAAGGAAGACATAAAAAGTTAATTAATTCCATTAGGAACTCGTGCACCCATGCGGCGCGGCGTTTTGCTGTTGTTACTTGTTACCCACCTTTAATTTACTTTTACGTATATTAAAGGTTCACAGGAATTACCTCGCGAATCAAGTTTTAAATGGTTTTTTTACGTGTTTAGCTATTTTATTATCGTTTTCGACTTTATCGCAATGAATAAAAAAGCACATTATATAACTTACACAAAAAATGAAGATTTTTTGTTCTATAACAACTAACAAAAGTAAATTAATTAAAAGTAGTCAAACATTCTCCTCTTTTTTTGGTTTATTTTGTTTATAATGAACATTTATAAAGAATATTTCACTATAGTTATATCTGGTTAATTTTATATATTCTCACCTGCGAAACCATGGCCCCATGTACATCCATAACGACAAGCTGAGCTGATGCTGTTCCAAGGTATACCTGGCTGTCATCTGGAGTCCAGCATCCACAAGTAATACGCGCGTCCAAAGAAAGCATCGAGGACCAGTATCGCTGGCCGGCCACTGATCCAACAAGCACGAAACCATCCTGTGGATAAGTCCAGAAATTGTGTAACCAATTCAATTATAGCAAAGCGTACATTTTTTTGGCACAGATAACGTGAATAATAAAAAAAACTAAGATGATTTCAATAAGGTTTTTTTATTGTACAAGTATAACATAATTACACAATATATTTTATACATAATTGAATAGATTGAAAGATACTGTTTTTGTTTTTTCCTGTCAACGAAAATATTGTATAGGTAGTTTATATTAAAGAAGGCTAAATCGGGCTCCGAAGGTTGCCCTTACTTACTATTGAAATACAATAAATTTATTATTGATTTACTAGCTAGTAGCTTACCTAGCTTCTATCATTAATTTTTATATGTTATTAACGAATATTTTATCGCGCCCCTAGATTATATATAGACCGTTTTTTTTTTTTTTTTTTTAACGTTGGGAAATGCATTTACGCACGACGTGTGGGACTCACCGGCGTAATACAGCCAGTACTACCCACTAAAACCCAACAAAACCATCCCCCGTCTTAATGGGGCGTCGCAGGATCGCTTACGCATTCAACTACGACGCCCCGACGGCAGGTCTGCCGAAGCAGACCACCACAACCATGGGGTTGCTCCACAGTCCACTCTGCTATCAGAGAAGTACCAGGAGCATCCCGCATGGTACACTGCCCCCCGAAGAGGGCCACCTCCCACCGCCCAGCGAAGTGGGCAACCTCCCTGTGCGTTTCTTAGCTTCGCGCCCGGTTGGATTGCCGGGCACTATTGAGCCCCCCCACCACGACAAGGTGAACGCACGTTGGGGGGGAGATTATATATAGACCGTAGATCGTTTATGGCCAACGTAAGTTATTAATTATTTTTTTTTCAGTGTTGTAGCAGATTTAAACACGTAATTGTGTGTTACATTTTAGATCATAATACACAAGTATGGTTCGTATAGTTTGCGTTATTATTGTCGCTATTTTTTATGTCAATACAAATATATTTAAAAACTAGCGACACCTAGCTTCGCTCAGGTTCGTCCCTGGCTTGCTTCCCCATGCAAATTTTCATCCCCATTCTCACCCCCTTAAAGGATGATTTCCGGGATAAAAACTATTACACTCACTCACTTTTCATATCATGAGATTTAAAAAAAAACTTATTTTAGTAAAAACTTTTTTGTCTTTTAATTTTCTTCTATACAAAACTTGTCCTGACAATAAATAACAAACACAAAAAAAAGATTTATCCAGTTTGGTGCAGTCAACAAAGTCAGTGCAACTATGCCTCTGTATCGATAGTAATGTCTATTTCAATAAGATTTTTCAAAAAATATTTAGTGTACAGATTCGGCTAAGTTAGAATTTTATTATAGGTATGTATAGATTTATTAGACTTAGACCGTTTTTTATTAGTATTGGGCTGCTTACGTAATTCTAGTAGCAACCTTTTACGATACAGAAGTGACAAATCGAGAGTCGGAAAGAAAATCGGAAATTACCTATTGACATTTTACCAATCTTAAGTTACACTAGCGACTCACCCTCACTTCACTCGGGTTCTTCCCTAGATACGTTTTAACGGTTAATATGGAAGAGGTAGACTATATATATATATATATATATATTATACATAGTTATTATAAGTTTTAAATCCCTTGCTTGAGAAATATCCTTCCCAAAATCTTCTATTATCTTAATACCAAATTTCATTTAAATCGGTTCAGCGGATTTAAAAAAAAAACTTTTACTCTTTACAATAATAGTATAAATTAAATTATCAACTAGGGTATGGCAAAAATCATATGTTAACCTATTACCATGATTTATGCAGAGTGTGTTTATTTTCGAAGTGTCAAATTGCTTTACTCGGCAAGTTCATAGGGAAACCTTTTAAGCAAATTGAAGCGACATATTTCTCGTCTCTAAGAGGTAGGTATATCACATTAGTGATTACTGAATAGCTAACATTGAGCATATTATGTAAACATATTTTTCGATTTGATGTGTTGCTTTAACTATAATTAAATAAGTATAAAATAAAAACAGTACCTACTATACATTTTACTTTCCCGAGTGGAAAGCAAAACATTTCATTAAAATATACCTACATATTTTTTAATAATTATCAGTTACTAATCTATTTATACATATAATAAAATTCTAACTAAACTGAATCTTTATATTAAATATTTTTTGGAAAATCTTATTGAAATACACATTATTATCGATACAGAGGCCGAATCTATAGTTATTTTTGTCTGTCTGTCTGTCTGTCTGTTACCGCATCACAGAAAATCCCCTGGAAGGATTTTGATGAAATTTGGTATGATGATAGCTGTAACCCGGTCAACATATAGGATACTTTTTACCGCAAGAAAATGTCTCATTTCTGAGAAAAAATTCAAAAAACTGCAATGTAAGAGTATACTAATATGTAAAACCTAAAAATTTGGTTTTTGATCATTTGAACGCGGGCTGAGCCGCGGGCAATGCTATTATAAATTTGGTCCCATTTTTACAAATGATGCACTCACGTAAGATTTAAATATGAGAGGTAAATAATAAAGACGGTTAAAAAGGGATAATGTACACATATGTGCAACTTATATATGTAGGTACGTCGCGTAATTTTTGTTATCATTCCAAAAACCGAAAAAATATATATAATCTAAATAACGAGAAGCAAAAACCGAAGATTGCCTTCACTTTGCTAGGCCCTATTATATTTTACAATGTTTTAATTATTCTTAACAATTGACAAGAAAACATTTTGTTTTTATTAAACATACGAGTACGTAAATAATATGATAACATTTATTTTAAAACCTGTAATAAGCTTCTTATTTTTAAACTGAAGCATCTATCGTGACTCAGTTCAAGTGGTTCATAAATTTAAAAATATTCTACTGTAATTAATTAGCGCTTTGATCAGAGGTGGTCGAGCGAGTGACATAAGCCTACTTACCTTATGAATAACTCTAAAAGAATGTTAGAATCACTATCTAACGTATTTTATACCGCATTGTTATATAATCTTCTATGCTCATATAAAAACTAAAGGTCGCCTTTGCTGCTATTGATGAAAAGTATAAAATTTTATGTTTTTTTATTCGTATAAATTAATTTACTTTCGAGTGCCACCTATTTATATGCATTAGTTGTTTTGTAGGAAGCTCAGGATTTCATTATGATATTTTTTTTTCTATATGGTATCACAGATCATATAATACTATGATGATGTGATGTTCTCCCGACCGATTCCGGCCACGGCGGCCAATCTCATTGAGACTAGCCAACTGCGCAGAAGATATTATAGTGCACAAGTGTACGCGCAGACACAAGTGCACTCTCTATTCCTGTCACTCTCATATTCCGGTGGGACGACTGCTCCACAGGACCAGTGAGAGTTAAGGCGCAGGACCGACGGCTTTACGTGCTCTCCGAGGCACGGGGGTGAAACACCGCCAACTTCCCAACTCCGGGCTGTTACTGAGGCTTACTTATACAGAAAGACTCAATAACTAAACTTGGCCCGACCCGGGACTCGAACCCAGGACCTCCGGGTGTGCAGCCGTACATGCTAGCCACTACACCACGGAGGCATAATACTATACTAGTATGGTATATTATATGTATATAGACTGTTGACTGTTTAATTTAACTGGTTTCGATTAAAAATAATGCTTAAAGCTATAATTTTAAATAGAGTACCCAATAATCTAATTACTAGTAGTCTAATTAAATTATACAGAGACATAAAAAGAGCCCTGAATACAGTGTAAAGTCTTTGCTCTAGCACTTAATGAGACTCGCTAGTGACTTTGTAATTATGTAATATCTTGTGTGGGCTCTTGATTGCTGCTATTAAAACGTTCTGAGTTACTTTAAGTTTTAACCCTATTATTTATTGTCTAGATTTTAGTGTCAAAAAAAATTGTAGCAAATAAAAAAAATGTTATATATGTTTATTTTTTATTTTCATTGTTAAACTGGCGTCATGTCTCAGTGTTGTTTCTTAAGTAGGTATTAAATGTTTTGGTAAACCTACACTACATTAACGTATTAAGTAACCCGCTGCCGAGAATCCGTACAAAGAATTTTTTTCTTTTCAAGTATAATATAGCTATTCTCCATGATTATCTTAACTAAATGAAATAGCCTTTATATTTGTTATATTTTCTGTATTTTTTTAAAACAATTTTCTTTTCATTTTTATTGATGGGTAAAGACGTTACAATGATCATTTTTTGGTTTAATTATTGTAATAAATATATTACTTTTCATCTTAAGTTCACGTGAAAATATAACATATTTAATTTAAATTACAATCATACTTAAAATATATGATGATGATGATGTTCTCCTAGCCGATTCCGGCTACGGCGGCCAATCTCATTGAGATTAGCCAACTGCGCAGGAGATATTATATAGTGCTCAAGTGTACGCGCAGACACAAGTGCACTCTCTATTAATATCACTCTCATACTCCAGTGGGACGACCACTCGACACGACCGGTGAGAGTTAAGGCGCAGGACCGACGGCTTTACGTGCTCTCCGAGGCACGGGGGTGAAACACCGCTAACTTCCCAACTCCGGGCTGTTACTGAGATTTACTATACAGAAAGACTCAATAACTAAACTTGGCCCGACTCCGGACTCGAACCCAGGACCTCCGGGTGTGCAGCCGTACATGCTAGCCACTACACCACTGAGGCAGTTGAGTTGAGTTAAAATATATAAATACCGCTCACAATTTTCAAACTACACAAGTTTGAAAATGTTTGCATAATTATATTTACACGAAAATATTTCATCAAACCTATAACGTAGAGTTTAACCAGTAAGTTTTGCTGGTATACCTATAAAAAGTTGGTTTAAAAGTGAACTGTTAACTGCGTACGCTGTTTAGTAACAGTCATTAAAAGAATCCATAGCAATCCATCAGGATAGTGAACAGTGAACTCTGACGCTGCACATTCTATCCAGTATCCATCCTACTTAGTTAACGACAGCGTTAGTTTTTTTCATTCAATTGAGTACATGTATGTATGTATTCAGCCCTTTTTAACGTCCCACTGCTGGGCACGGGCCTCTCTTCAGCACGAGGGGAATCAGGCCATAGTCCACCACGCTGGCCAAGTGCGGGATGGCTGAATTGAGTACATAATTTTAATAAAATTCAATTTTAGTTATCTAATACCATAAATGGCATAATACCATTCTAGCTAATAAACGACAAACAGTTTCACATCGAGGAAGCTCTTCTATAAAGCATACAAAAGGATTTTTTGGGTAAGTCTAAAATAAATGTATGTTGAAGTGTGTGAAGAAATATATGTTTATGTTCACATATATATTAATACTTATATCATGAACGAATTAACCACTTATATATAATATAATACAACTTTAAAGTATTATTATATAGTAGGTATTATTTTTATTTACATACCTGATAGCATATTAAGGCCATCCTTCCATCATGTGACCAAGAAAAATGAGTGACTGGTGTGCTGCGGTCATTGATCAACTCGATGCTCCACCGACCCTCGTATTTTATCCAAACGAATATAACTCCGGAACTGTCACACGACGCCAGCTTTTGATACGGCTCGTTCCATTTCACCAGAATTACCTGAGTGAAGAATGCATTTATGGATTAATTAAATGCTCAAAATATGCCTTATCTAAATACTAATTAGATTCTAGGTGCTTTTGTATCGTTATTTTTTACAAGTGTCGGTATTGTAACTTGTAAGTCCGTGTGTAAACTACCATAGGCTCGCAAGGTATCCCTTCTCAGAAAAACCGGCAATAAACTCAACAGATCATCTTTAAAGAATTATTTTTTTTCCGATTTTATGACACTATAATTTTACATTGAATCTACGTGTGTATTAGCTAAAATTAATCAATTGCATACTTTTTTTAATTTATATCCGTAGTTCCGAGGTTTTCCTCCTAAGTTCAAACTCACATTATTATTATGAACATTAGTAAATAGTAAATGTTTTATATAAATACAATTAAGTGATTTTTTCATAATAATTCAACTTTATACATTCATGACTAATAGAAAGGCTATTAAGCAGAGCGCTATTATGTGGGCATCGTAATGAGCTTTATTATGGTATTGTTTGCATTCGTACCATAACGAAGGCACAGTAGTTGAAATTTTTATATATTAAAGGCGATAATGTATGTCAATTATTTAAAAAATTGAAATATTTTTTCGTTTAGCTGTTTTAAAAATATTGTGAAGGCTTTTGTATCTATGTAGTTTGTGATGTTTTTATCGAAATATCAAGAAGTCGATAAATGTTATTAATGTTTTATTTTGTATGGCGTCGCAACAAACTTTGATGAAATATATTCACTGCAGGGCAATATGCCGAGCTTTAGCTTTTTATATAACTAGAAGTACCCGCGGCTTCGCCCGCGTCCGAACTTCCGATCGCTAACAAAATTCACGGGATCACCCGCTGGCCTAATCTGAAGATTACCTGAAAATTTTATCAAAATCGCTCCAGCTGTTTTGGAGTCCATAGGAAACATACATACACACATCGATTTTTATTTAATTTAATCAACTATTTAAATTTATTTATTGCGCGAAAAATGGAGTCTTTTATGAAAATTTAGTGACACACTGACTGCAGCGCCATCTACTGGATCCATTTGTGAATTCAAACCTTGCAATGACTCATTCGAACATACACAAAAATACCATAATGACCTAACCCAGCCGTTTAGGAGATAATCAGTGGCACACCGACTGCAGCGCCACCTACCGGGTTCAATTTTGTTTTAAAACCATTCAGGAGCCCATTGAAATATATACACAAAATTTCATCAGGAGATTTAGGAGAAGTACATTAACATACACACGTACAGAAGAATTATATATATTAAGATAATAAAAAACACACCAATTTCCTATCATATCTTTAATAAAAACATCCATTTACAAAAACGTTAAAACTTTGAATTATATAAATGACTCATCGTAAAATAACGATTTCGTTAATTAATTGAATCAATACTTGTAAAGTTGTTAAGAAGTTTTTATTTTATTTTAAAGCTACTTATCATACTTATATTTTTTCTTACAATTAGTGAAACGTAAATAAATTAATGTAAGATGTACAAGATTTTTTGCACAATGATTTTAATTAAAATAAGAACTACAAGGTAAACTTCACGGAATTAAAATTAGCAATATTTAATCTTTTTAAAAAAAAATTTATTACCGAACGAGCGTTTTATACTAGCGACTAGCGTTATAGTAATAGGGGGACGATGGGGGAATTGCGGACGCGGGGTAAATACGGACTAACATATATCTACTCTATACCTGCCGCCCGCGTCCCGCCGCCGCGATCACGCGTTACGTTCCGCCATCTTGAGTGCCCACTAAACATTTCCGACAGACGGCTGCGCACACGTTTCAAGGTAATTAAAATTTTACATTTTTTGTGATTTTGATGTAATTTTTGGTATAAAGTATTTTGAGTGTTATTCAAAAAGAATAAGTGTCAGTAAGAATGTCATATTTTCTGTCGATTGCGATGTTAATGACGAGTAAATAGTACAACCGTTTGTCTTGGTAAATTTTGTTAACCTAAAAATTTTGTTGTTGTACTTTTTCGAACTCGTTTGGGTCAATTGCGGACAAATGGCCTGGGGTAAATACGGACGTCCGTAATTACCCCATTATTTATCAAAACCTATTATTTTTATATAAATTTATATTCTTTTTTGTAATTAACCTATTATATATCAAAACCTATAGAAATAATTCTATATTCCAGATGCCTCGAAAATATATAAAGAAAAAACTACTACTTACACCATTGAAACTTTACAAAGAGCTGTGCAAGAAATTAAAGACAAAAAGACTCCTTTTCGACAGGTGGCAGAGAAGTATGGCATTCCCAGAGCGACGCTTTTTGATCAAGTGAAAAAAGCCTGTATTAGTACCATGCCAAAAAGAGGAAAGAAATCAGTTTTTTAATGAATCTCAAGAAAATGAACTGGTCGAATTTATTTTAAAATGTTGTAAAGCCTTCTTTGGGATAACAATTCCTACCTTAAGAAAAATAGCCTTTGATTTTGCCGCTGCTAATAACATAGCAAATGACTTCAATAAAGATACCAAAATGGCAGGTATAGATTGGTATTACAATTTTATGGCGAGACACCCCAATATATCACTTCGCAGACCAGAAGCTACTTCAATAAATAGAATCACAGCATTTAATCAAGAAGAAATAGATATATTTTTTGAAAATTTAAAAACACTCATGGTAAAATACCAATTTAAGTCAAATTCAATCTACAATGTTGATGAAACGGGGATTAGTACTGTACAACGAAATTCCAGGATTCTCGCACCGAAAGGTTTAAGACAAGTAGGTAAATGTACTAGCGCAGAACGTGGTTCCTTGACCACAGTTATAAATTGTTTCAATGCTGGAGGCACATACATTCCCCCATTTTTTATATTTAAAAGAAAGCGGATGAATGCACTGCTTATGAAGGACAGTAACAGTAACATGGTAGCTTGTGTTTCTGACTCAGGCTGGATAACTGAATCAATTTTCGTTGATTGGCTTCAGCATTTCAAAGCATTTGCGAAAACCATCTGCAGATGAACCTATTTTGCTTATACTGGACAACCATGAAAGCCACATTAGTTTGAGAGCTCATGAATTTTGTCGCAAGAATTTTATACATGTTTTAACTTTGCCTCCTCACACATCCCATAAAATGCAGCCTTTAGATTTAACTTTCCATGGCCCACTAAAAACAGCATATAACAGGGAATGTGAATCCTTCATGGTCAACCATCCAGGAACCAAAATTACGGCATATGATGTTGTAGGCCTTTATACAAAGGCTTTTAATAGAACGACAAGTATTGATAAAGCTATGAATGGCTTTAGGTCTGCTGGAATTTGTCCAATGGATCGAGATAAATTTAAAAACACTTTTGAAAGTTTTGGTGATATGTTTTCATCAGTCCCTCCTCTTGAACAACGGATACAAACAAATACCAACAATTCAAGCCAAAATGAGTCCCAGAATGAATCTCATGTTGTCTGTGATGCTGCCAATCAAAATATTTCTAATCCAATAGAATTTCAGGAAATATTTCAACTTTCCAATAATGATGCCAACCTTGACGATTTAAACGAAACAATACCTACGTCTGCATTAGTGGATGATGTTAGTGAAGCTGGTGTTAATCAAAGTATAACAAGTCAAACTTGTCCATCTGCCTTAGTACCACTTAGTGATATAGTGCAAGTTCCAACTATAAAACCTACTCGTACAAAACGATTAGTTAAAAAGAAACACTCCATTATTTTCACCAGCACACAGGAAAAAGTAAACCTAGAGCAAAAAGAACAAAAGAAAATAGAAAGAAAGAGAAAGAACCTAGAACAAAAGAAGACCAAAACTACAAATAAGAGACCAAAACTGACTAAAGAAAAACGACCAAAAGATTTAAGAAACTTAAAAAAAATTGAATGTGATAAAGAAAATGATGAATATTTCTGCATTTATTGCCAGGAAAAGTATTTTGACCCACCCACCGAAGACTGGATTATGTGTTTAAAATGCAAGAATTGGGCACATGAAAATTGCAGTGCTGGGTCTTCTTCAAGAGGCTACGTTTGCGAATTCTGCAAATGAAATTGGAGCTCGTCCGTAAATACCCCATGTTGTCCGCAATTAACCCAGCACTGGTCCGTATTTACCCCAAGAGCTAAGGGTAATTACGGACATATATGTTTTTGTTTTTGATTAAAATTTAATAAATGTTGATGGATCTCATTTAATAATTATTGTTGATTTAATAGGTAAATAGCTATAGTTTAATAATTAATAAAGACAGACTGATTATTATTAATAGTTTGAATTTTATTTTTGATTCCGCTTAAGCGTCCGCAATTCCCCCACCTTCCCCTATAGCTTTTTCTTATACATCAGAGTAACACGTACATAAAGCTATAATTTAAAAATATATATATTTTTTTACAAAATTTTAACATCTTTAACCAACTTTATCTATTAGTTTCTATACATATTTATTCACAAAGAATCACTTCGCCAAAAAACATATAAGGCTCAAAACATTTACCGTCACTGTGGTGGGCACGCGCTCTCCACGCGTAAACTCCGCGTCACAAAGATCCAACTTCTGAATAACCATCAGTGATACGCACATCCAATATTTTTTAAATGTAGCCCATATCTCCAGGGTTATTTTTTATTTTTTCAATATCTCATTTCGTTTTCGAAATATGATTGTTTCTGACTGAAACCGGGCGAAAAACGACCGATTTTTTTACATTTTTTTCGATAAAAAAGTGAGTTTTTTTTAAATATTTGCATTTTGCAGCCCTCATCGAGACGCTTCTTTTGACATCCTAATCAGCCACGTAGTCCTAAAACCCACGACATCAGGCGATGCTATTTGCTAAAAATCGGGCCTATGCCTTAGCGCAATAAAAACTTGTTAACAAAAAATTAAACACGGACTTCAAACAAAAGCACTGTACTATCAACGGAAATAGAAACATTTGCAAAGTTTCAAGTCAATATGACAATTAGAAGTAGGTTAAATTC